TTTCTACTTATTATCCTGTGACACTAGGCACTTCCATGGAGACTCCAACACACTATCACCCCAGTTCCTCATTGGGAGACTGGGAGTTCCTGTTGGACAGTTCTGCCTGGTTTTGGGGCTAGACAGGCTGTGGTGGTGTCACTCATTCTTAGGATTGGTCAGCTTGGGCTGCCATAACAAATCCACAGACTTGGTGGCTTCAACAATAGACCAAGATGCCAGATGATTCAGTTACTGGTGAAAGTGCTCTAGGGGCTTGCAGATGGCCACTTGCTTGTTGCGTCCTCACATGGCTCTTCCTTTGTGCCTGTGTGGAGAAACATCTCTGCTGCCTCTTTCTCTTCTTAGAATGGCACACATTTGATCTGAATCAGGCCTTACCCTTTTTGACCTCATTTAATCTTTTCCCTTTCTTTTCAAAATTTTCCAATATTGCTGGCAACATGGGAGAGCAGTAGGACATCATAAAAATCTGCTTTTACACCCTCCCCCCCAACCCCAAGCCAGCTGCTTATATTGGGTAGAAAAATAAAGATTGCATGGGGAGGTAGGCAAAAGAAATAAGAATGGGTATAATGCTTATAGGTTACAGGCAATGTGGGCTAGGGGGTGCAAAGGACAGGCAACTGACCTCATTTCACCTTTAAATGTCTCCTTACAGGCCCTCTTTCCAAATATAGTCATATTGGGGATTAGGGCTTCAACCTATGAATTTGTGGGGACACAACTCAGTCCATAAAAACCCTCCATTGACACTAAATAAGAATGAAAAATAAGAAACACAGATCACAGGACAACTATGTAAGTTGCAATGACCTTTGTCTATTTTTGTGTTGAGGAAAGGAATATATTGCGATGAAAAGTTTATATTCTTTGAGCCTTGGTTAATAGATAGCAATTCACATTATTAAAGTGCTGAAGAGTCATTCAGTTTAAAACACTGACAGAGAATTACAATCATTTTAAGTTAATATATTTAAGTCTTAATTACCTAAGAGGAGTAGTGCTTTCTGGAACTTTCTTCTTTCTTTTTTATTGATAAATAGGGAGGACAGAGAATAGATAGTAGATGTTCTTGAAAATGAGCTTAGAATAAGTGGATCAGAAAGATTTAATGGAATTGAAAACAGAACCAGTTATGTATATAGAAAGGGCTCAGCAGGCCAGGCAAGATCAATGATAACAATATTATATTAAATCCTATCCTGTCAAAAATAACTAACGACATAACTACAGAAGTAACAGGGAAAATCCTATATGTGTCCACACACTAACAAAGAGATAGAATTCTGGCTGAACTCAGACTTCAGGGTTATAGAACAAAATGCCCCAAGGCAGTGGAACAAAGTCTAAGTCAATTCTGAAGGTCAGAAATTGTGATAAGATATATATTGTAGCACAATATGTGGTTAATGATGAAAACAATAAAGGGCATTCTGAGTATGCAGAAGAAAGCATACCACCCATGTACTTTTCTTTAAAAATTACTTAAAGATGTGCTTCAGTTGACTGAAAGATGGAATAAAAATGAAGTATGGAAAAGTCATGCAAGAAAAGACCAGTAGGGAAATCTGAACTGTAAAACAGAAATACATCAATATTATTTTAATAACTATGGATTATGATATAACACAAAATTTGATGTTACAAATAAAATATTTGATGTAATATAAAAATAATAAAATAATGACATGCTATCTAATAAAAGAGTGATATGCAAATTAACCACCACTCTTTTACACACAAGCCATTCCCACCAGCAAATCAGGAGCAAGTATGCAAATTAACCCAAACAAGATGGCTGCAGCCATGGAACGAGCAGGAGGCTAGGGTTTCTTTAGCAACTGAGGAAGCCAAGCTTTCCGCACATCCTGGTGGGCCCAGGCCTTCACTCAAGGCTACAAAGTTTCAATTATAGAAGATAAATAAATCCAAACAAAAATGGCGGCAGCCACAGAGCTGGAGAGATCAGGAGGCTTGGGTTGCTCCTGGCAATGGAGGAAGCCAAGCTTTCTGCACACCCTGGCCTGCCTTGGCCTCTGCTGAAGGCTACAAAGTTTTAATTATAGAAGATAAATAAGTCCCAACAAAAATGTCTGTGGTCATGGAGCAAGCAGGAGGCTTGGCTCTGCTCAAGGCTACAAAGTTTCAATTATAGAAGATAAATAAATCCCAGGTACCAGGGCCTCTGCTTGGGTCACCGGGGTGTGTGGCTAGCCTGCAAACTAACATAGGCCCCTCGCCCAGGCCGCCTCATGCCTCAAGGGAACCCCCACCCTGATCCAGGACACCCTTTTAGGCAAACCTGCTGGCCCTCACACCCAACAGTGCATCAGGCCTCTATCCTATCTAATAAAAGAGTAATATGCAAGTTGACTGTCACTCCAACACATAAAATGGCTGCCCTCATATGTGGTCAAAGATGGCTGCCCCCATGTGGACACAGATGTCTGCCACAAGATGGCCAGCAGGAGAGAGCAGTTGGGAGAAACCAGGCTGGCAGGAGAGGGCAGTTAGGGGCAAACAGGCTGGCAAGAACCAGTTAGGCATTGATCAGGCTGGCATGGGAGTAGTTAGGGGGTGATCAGGCTGGGAGGCAGAAACGTTAGGGGCAATCAGGAAGGCAGGCAGGCGAGAGGTTAGGAGCCAGCAGTCCTGGATTATGAGAGGGATGTCTGACTGCCTGTTTAGCCCCAATCTTCCCAGGATCAGGCCTAAACAGGCAGTCGGACATCCCTCAAGGGGTCCCAAATTGGAGAGGGTGCAGGCAGGACTGAGGGACATGCCCCCCACACATGAATTTCAAATAGGCCTCTAGTCCTATTTATTAAAGAGGGAATATGCTAATTGGCTGTCATGCCCTCACAAAGATGGTGGCGCCCATAGCCAATAAGGAGGAAATATGCTAATTTACTGCCATGCCCTCAAAAATGGAAGACTGCGGTGCCCACAGCCACAAGATGGTGGCTCTTAGTCCCTTCAGCTCTGCCGGGACGGCAGGCGCATGGCTCCTAGGTGGGTCCTTCTGATCTGCACACCTGTCTCCAGAGTTCCCCAGTCCCCTCATCCCCCCCAGCTATCCAGGGCCAGCCTGAGGTGCAGGCAAGCCTTGGATGGTGGCTGCCCAGCCTCCTAGGGCTAACTTGAGGCACAGGTAACCAGGGCTGGGCTGAGGCTTGTGCTGCCGTCAGTGGCAGCAGCAGAGGTGTGGTGGGGGTATCACCTTCCCCTGATTGCCAGGTTACCTCCTGCCCCTGAGGGCTCCCCGACTGTGAGAGTGGGCAGGCCAGGCTGAGGGACGCTCCCCATCCAGTGCTTAACTTTTCATGGACCAGGGCTCTAGTATAATATAATTAAATACTATAAAAATAATTAATTAGAGTAAAAGAAACAAATGTTAGTAATGTAATGAACAGCAAATAGAAATTAGGGAGCTGAAGGGTATAAACAAACACTTTAGTTTAAACATGTGGTATGTTAAAGATATTTTATTTTTAGCTCTGGCATTTAAAACACACATTACAATGCCCTTGGAAAACTTTCAGGTAAGAATTAGAAGAACTAAAAACTGTTACAATGCTTTCAGAATAGAAGATAAAAATAAAGAAATATAGGCAAAAAAAAAAAAAAGAAGGTATTCAAAATGGAAAGAATAAAATAAGACTTAAATAAGTCTGACTATAAAAAACACACACAAATGCAATGGATTACTTCTTAGAAAAAAATATAAAAGTGGAACTGATTAAAAAAGCAATAGAATATGTGAATAGTCTAATCACCATGAAAAAAAAAACACAGAGAAAATAGTCAATAAGTGCCTCTCTAAAGGACTCTAGACTATATAATTTTATGAATCTAAAACACGACATGTTATTCCAGAACATATAAAATGGTAGAAAGTTTTATGAGTTATTTTACCAAGCAAAGATAACCTTATGCCTAACTATGGCAAAATACAAATATTTATAGACCAATCTTGTTTATAAATACAAATGTGAAATCCTAAAAAATACTTTCTGCAATGGTATATTAAATATATAACAAACAAAAATAGATTCCATACAAACTTAAAATTTAACTTAATAAATTTTTCATAATGGTATGAATGTACAAAAGCCCAGAATATGAAAAAATTTATAGGTTAAGGGCCCCGGGTGTTATAATAATGTAACCCCTCTAATGTATGAAATAATTATTGTGTGAAATGTTTGCTATATGGAAACCCCCAATACTCTGTAACTTCCAAAATTAATGAACACTCCACTATTTTGATGTAAAAGCTCTGATCCCTTAAAGTGTAAATGCCCTGCTTCCAGCATAAAGTACATCATCTGGCCCACACTGATAAGGACACAACTTGTTTATGGCGGTCCATATAACCCCGGGACCATCTTCAGTTGAGGTCTCCTGCCCATAAGAGGAGGACTCCACGTTGCTCCCTGATTGCTCTGCTGTGTGAGCCTGAACCAGGTGCGGCCGCCTGCCTGTCTCTGTGTTCGCCTGTCCTTCAGTGTGCATAGCCAGGTGGCCTTTGCTGGAGCCCAGGACCCACGAGGAATAGGTAAATAAACCCTGTGTCATTGCACACTAATTCTGTCTTGTGTGTCATGTGTTCTGGTTTGGCTCAGTTGTCCAGACATTGAAGTACCAGAGGATAGGCCGTTATTGCTGGTCACCTGCATTTGTCCCACTAAGTCTAGACAGATAATCAATTAATTGGGGCATTATTGGGACAATAGGCTTTCCAATGAATAGTAGGCAAGGAATAAGATTGTCAAACTTATAGAATAGAAAGGGACTTAGTAGTCAAATGCAATGTGTGGAACTTGTTTGAATCTTGACTGAAACAAATCAATTGTAAAAAAGATTTATAAGAAATGGGGAAGAATGTGAACTATTGTATGATGGCTATTTAATGACATTAAAGAAGAATTCAATTTTTTAAGTGTGAGATATAATTTTTTAGCTGCAAAAAAACCAAAAACAAAACAAACAACAACAACAAAAAACACTAAAAGGAGGTAGAAGGTGTGATGATACTATGAAGGGCCTGGATTTGAGTCAAGGGGACAGAGACTCACTGGGAATTTAAAGATGACCAAGGTTACATCATCTGGATTCTGAAGTGGAGGTGCCTCAGTCCTTTTAGAATGGGGTCAAGAAGGAGCCCGGAAACTGTACTCACTGGCCTCATGAAAAATAAGCACTTCTTTGAGATCTTTTTCAAAATTTGCCTCTAAATCCAGTCCTATCTGACCCAAATCAGAAGCCTAAAAGAGAAAACAGCAAATGCATAGATATGAAGATAGAAATAAAGAAATATAGCAAAAATAATATGAAAGTACTCAAAATGGAAAGAATACAATAAGACTTAAATAAGGCCAACTATAAAAAACAAATGCAATGGATTGCTTTTAGAAGAGATTTCCCCCTGGACCTCCCCTAAAATCTTCTCCCTTACAATCATTAGAAAAGAAGACCCAATGTGCTCTCTCTTCTGGGAGCTTGCCCAACCCATGCCTTTCCTTTCTGTCCCCTCTTCTTCCCTACCCCAGGCACCTTATCAATTGCTTCCTCACTCCTAAGCGCCAAGGACCCCTCTTTTGCTGGAAGCAAATTCTAGTAGTTGGCACAATAAATGTGAGGAGTTAATCAGAAGGCTGATGGACAGCTTCAGTAGGGCTGAAAATCTGCATATATTATAGTTTACTGCTGGAATAGCCAAAGGCAGTTCCCCCAAACTTATAATCTTTTTTATTGCTCACCAAACTTTACCTTTGATATGTACATCTGCTTTGCTAGAGGGAAAGATGTGTGAATAAAAAGCCCTGGGTGAGGAGATTCAAGGAACTTAGTCACTAGAACTAAGCTTCCTCTGGATTTCCCAATATGCCTTCCAAATTTATATTTTATGTCTAGTCTCTTTATTCATTTACATGCAGCCCCTTTTCCAGATTCCTGAACCCTTGCAGATGCTGAAAAAGACCCTGGCACTCCTTTATCTCTAGAACTTGTTTCCTAAGCCCATTTTTTTCAGGATTACTTATACCTCTATGATTTACCAAATAAATGTTCTCTTACAGTCTGGGCCATGGCTCTGAATTCTTTCTTAGCCAGAACTCAAGTATCCAGGATGCTAGACCCAGGTTTGGTCTGACCCCACTGATCAGACACCTGGTGCTGTTCCCACTGCCTACACCCTAAGGACATTAGATTAGGACTATTCAATCACTCCAGTACTGAGGCAGAATGGGTGGGGAGATGCTGCTGCTACACTGAAATGGATGAGAGTCTGCCTGGTTAGTAACTTGGACCCGACAGATGGTCTGAATTGAAGAACTGGTTCTGATCACTGAGAAGCTCAAGATTGGTGTTACATAGGAAAAGTAAAGGCATTTCTTGAAAGCTCACTCTTTGAAAGAAGGATGAACTTCCTGTTCTCCAAGGCTAAGACTGTGTTAGGTGTGAAGGCACTCCCAGGTCCTCTCTGCTACTTCCAGATCCATGAATAGACAACTTATGGCTTGTGAACATGCTGAATTGTGGCATGCAGGAGGGAGGGAGGCTGGGTGAAGGTGAGAACCTTTTTTAACTATCTCTCCCAGTATGTCTATACAAGTTAGAGTAAACACCAGGAGATACTCAAGAAACCAAAGTTAATGATGTCTTGGGGTTGGAGGAGAGGTAGAAGGGGTCAATTGGGAAAAAAGGGGTGGGAATATATAATACTTTCAACAATAAAGATTTAAATTGAAAAATACCTCAACTAATTGTCTCTCCCTACAAAGGAAGGTGGAAGACAATAAGTGCTTAGGACAATTTTGCATGATGTTTAAGTTCACTGGGAAATTTAGGTGTCATAAGTCCAAGCATATGCATCCTGGAAGTTTAATTTATTTCATCTTGTTTAATTAACTCATCTATTTCTATATTCCTGGTGCATGAAGAATTGTGGAAACAAAAATTGCCCTTCTTCTCAGTTTGAACAAGGAGGCTAGGGAAATTGACTGTCTCAGTGGGAGCAGCCTGCCAACCTGGGAACTGAGGATGGGTTTTTTCAGGCATTGTTTATAAGAATTCTTCCCTGTCCTATGTGTGGCTCTTTTTGACATTCATCCCTATAATCCTTATAGTCTGAGAACAATTCTTTATATAATCAAATACATATATATATATATATATATATATATATATATATATTTGATTTTTTTTTTTTACAGAGAGGAAGGGAGAGGGACAGAGAGCTAGAAACAGCGATGAGAGAGAAACATCTACCAGCTGCCTCCTGCACACCCCCTACCAGGGATAAGCCTGAAACCAAGGTACATGCCCTTGACCAGAATCGAATCCGGGACCTTTCAGTCTGCAGGCCAATGCTCTATCCACTGAGCCAAACTGGTTTTGGCCTGAGGACAATTCTTGAAAAATTCTGTCATCCAAGAAATTAGGGGAAAGTAGAAAGGATGTGAGAAGGAAGTAGGACATATCCTTTCTACTTTACCTTGTAAAAAGTTTTGTGGTTACGAAAGATCAGGCGTATGTCCCGTACAAACCATTCCACTGAGTACATCCTCTCAGTCAGCCTTTCCTTCACCAGGTCCAGCCACATGGCTTCCCTAAAGGGCTCTGCGTAATCTCGGATCTAGGGACAAAGTCACCAAAGGGGTGATGTTAGCACAGCTATCCTGATGGGGTGGATCCAAATTAAATACAAGGCAAGTGGGTTTATTTCCAGGGCAATGATAATACCACCTGACAGCTAGATGCCAGGCTTTGTTCTGAGAACTGTCACAGTAATAATATGTGGTCTCCACAACAACCCTGAGATAGGTGCTATAATAACTACCATTTTACAGATGAGGAAACGGAGGGAGGGAGGGAGAGGTTAAGTAACTTATCTAAGATGTCACAGCAAAAAAGTGGTAGAGCTGGGACTTGAACCCACAGTTTGGCTCCTGAGTTTGAGATCTTAATCTGTGAGCTATCTTTAAGAAAGACATTGTCCTGTAGAGACAGTAAAAGTAGGACCTGAGGGAGGTGAAGCTAGCACAGTGGGATGGAGTTGAACCCACTCCAGCATCTGCAGCTAACGGTTCTGCTCCCTGCAGACAGTAGCCTCTGCAGGACCCATATTCCAGGTTTCCAGGTTGAGTTTTACACCAGAGAGATGACTGGAGGATGAGAATCATCCAATGTGACACTTACGTTGCATGGGGTCTTTGCGAAAAAGGCACTTTGTGGATGACAGTAGGTCTTCAAGAGGAGGAACTCACATTTCTGTAAAATATCAAGAGGGTTTTGAAAAGAAATGCAGCTGGTAGATAGCGGAGAGAGCCTGTGTCCAAACAAGCATGCATGCACAGGCAGACACTCAGGCCCTCCAATCATATTTGTCAAAGGGTCCTAAAGTGGGTTCAATCCTGTTCAGACTCCATTTTGGGGCACTGAATTACCATCTGAAGCCAAACAACCTTAGGTGCCCCATTCCCTGAGCCTGCAACTCTTGATTTCTCACATGTGAGCAGGAAGAAAAGGTCTTGGGGTTTGAATCTGACTCACCAGTTGCTCCTCAGGCCCCATCTGCCTCTTCAAGACCTCAGGTCTCCTGAGACACTGTTGACTTCCTGAAGACTCCTTCATCCTGCAGAAGGTGCAACTCCACGGGCTCCTGAGAGGTCGGGCATAAGTGATCAAGGCAAGATCTCAGAAACAGCCACCATTCCTAAGGCTGCCGTTGTTTCTCCTTTTAGGAGTGGCTGGTGGGCACAGCCAGAGGTTGAAGGGGACACTTTCCAGTGTCCTTAGGTGGGGTGTGACCCAATGACCCTGTGCCCGTTGAGGGTAGCATTTGAGGGTCAGTAGATGGAAGGTGGTGTCAGGGTGAGGGGTGGGCTCTCCTTTCACCATCTGAGCTGCTGGGAGCACAAGTAACCCTGCGCTCCAGGACTGAGTGTTGGAGGCTGGGCCTTAACCTCTGTGGGCCTTGGGCCCCAATAGCCCATCGAGAATGTAGCAAAACAAGGCAACCAGGCCATATTTCCTGCCTTTTCTGAGTAAGCACAGAACACGGACCAGTAGCATTTCCCATCTCCATCCCCCTTGGACAGGAGTCTGTGCTGCAAACCTAGGAGAGGACATCTCCTAGGGGCAGTGGCAGCCTTGCCTCACAGACACAGGCTACCACTGACAGCAGAGGGCACAGAGCTGTGCCCCACCAGGTTGCTCTGAGCACACCTGTGCCACCATGCTCTTCCCTCTGGAGCTGAGGGACAAGAGACAGAACCCGGAAGAGGGTGTGCATGAGGCTGCTGCATCTCACTAACCTCTTAGCCTCTGTAGGCGGGATGTGACAGTCTTCATGAAAGGCTCGTGGACAGGCGTCACAGCTGAGCAGCCGTCCCCCTCTACAGCACACCTCACATTCCTTTGCATTTTCCCACTGGAAGAGCAGATAATGTGGACACGCCTGGGATCAGCAAGATCTGCTGAGCACTGTGGGGCTCTGGGACACCCCATCCTTGCCTGTCCCAGAAGGGACTGGAAGGTCATGGAAGCCCTTTCTACACAGTATGGTTTGAGGGTCAGTGGCATTAACATTGTCAAGGAGCTATATATACTGAATCAAGGAACACAGATATACTGAATCAAACCTGCATTCTAAAGGATCTCAGGTGGTTGGTATGTGAAATTTGAGAAAATATGGCTATCGGCAACTCCCTTTTTTTTTTTTTTTTTTTTTTTTTTTTACCAGCCTGGGAAGATGAAATGCTTTGATTCATGCAGGAATCAAACTTAGTACCTGAGCTAGACTGGCACTCAGGCCTACTTGGGGTCAGAGCTGTTCCCACCTGCTTGGTACCATACCAGGCAAGCCTGTGGACCACTCAGAACTGTCCCTAAGGCTATGGCTGACAGGACACAAAGACAGAGCTGCTGTGCAATGGGTCATTGTGTAGGCTTGAGAACTCATATGGAGCTTTCTGGTGGCCTTAAAATGGGACTCAGTAAATTCTGAAAGAGATTTAGATGAGGAATCCTGTCTTCACTGCTGAGTAAAGCACTGGTTCTGCTACTGATGCCCCGCCCTCCCTCTCTCTTCTGCCCCTCCGGAGACAGACAGCAAGGGCTCTACATGGATAAGAGACCACTTTCTCTGTGCTGAAGGTAGGAGCCAGGAAGTGGCATTCACCCTTATGTGCCCATTGTGCACCCCAGACAGATGTATAATACATAAAAAGGTGGGAAATAGATCATCAGGAGCTGGAGGAAAGGATCCACAGAGCTAGGACAGGCCACCACCCTCAACTGTCATAACGCAAGCATGAGGACCTGGGAAAAAGCTTAGAGAGGGAAATTTTTTTCCATTCTCAAGACTGGCCACTCAGCCAGAGTGAAAATTCCTTTTGTTTTTGGGAGGGTGTTCTTCTTGCTTGTAACTGAGAGGAGGCTTCGCAGCAGCTCCCTTCATTGACTAGGCCCCAGGACTTCTTAAAGAGGGATCCCTCCACCCTAAAGTCCAGTGGATTTTTCTGGCCTTCACATGCTGAATTCTCCAGTCTGCTTTTCTTTGTCCTTGGGGTTGATACTCTATGGCCATTCTTGCCCTCTGACTGGATGCCTGGCCTGCTCTGGACCAGGATGCAGATTTCAAGGTAGCCTAGACCTATCTACTCTTCCTAATTAAGACTCTAGTTGGATCCAGAGTCCTAAGCCACCAGCACTCCCTGCCCCCATATACTCTAGAATTGTTTCAAGCGTACATGATAGAAAAATAATAGAGAAAAGACATACAATTCTTCAACTTCCTAATCTCAAAGAGTCTGACTCTGGTTTTTGTGATGACCATTAATAGTTTCAAGCCCCACCCTCCCTCTTACCCTCTTGCCATATCTGTGCAAGTTGATAAGAAAGTTATGGGTTTATAAAGATAATTTTTTTAAAGCTATGGGTTCCTTCCCTCAGCCCTAGTAGAAAGTCCAAACCATATAGGCCCTGCCCCAGCAAGAGAATCTTCACCCTATTGCTAACTGTCCTCCTCAACCCCACACTACACTTTCATATAGGAGAAACCATTGAGGCTCTCACAAGCTCTGAGCCAGTACTCTGCACCAGCCACCCATTGTGGGAAACCACAAAACATGTTTGCAATGTCGGCATCAGGTGTCTTGATGGTACACACGTACAGAGTTCTACACCAGTGGGACTTGGTCTACCGCAGAGCAACAGTGACTTCTAGAGTGATGGGGCCAGGGAAGGGCCTGCGTTAGTCTATTTGAAGTCAGAACTAGGCTTCATTCTCATTATTCCCAATGTGGCTCCTTCTAGGTGGGATGGAAGGTGAGATCAAGTGTACTCCTGACTATCATGTGCTGATATGTGGCATTACGTACGAGTAAGAAGAAACTATAATGTTGGGGCCATGAATTAATGATTTTGATTTTAAATATCTTTATTGTTTTTTTTCTGATTACAAAAGTATTAAGTAATTATTTAAAAATTTTCCACATGTACATAAATGTGTAATATGGAAGGCAAATTTCCCCTATAATTCTGTCCCATGATAGCTATCTCTTTCACATTTTTAAAAGGCATAGATCTACATATTTACATAAACAAAACATAGTACTACCAGTTTGAGTTTCTAAAAGCTTTTCTGACCTCAAAACCTATGTGTGGTTTTTCAATTGACTGAAGGATGAATCTTGACCTATGCATTTAAAAAATACCATTCTGTAGATGTCTTAGGTTATTTTATAATACCAATGGACATTTATAGTCTTCCCTATTTTTTTTATTATTTTTTTTGCTATTACAATGAGCATCCTACACATATCAAGGTATTTCAAATCAGTATGGAAAAGACAGCTTATACAAGAAATGGCTTTGGGGGACCATTGTTTCACACACTTTGAATGGAGCCAGTCAAGGGTCAAGGTAGCCTACAGGGCAAGATGGGACTGACACCATTGCCTCTGCTGGAGGCTCAGATCTAATGAGAAGCCCATGAATGGGACTTGAGAGGAGGCATCTAAGCAAGTAAAGAAGGCTGAGGAAAAGCAGCTGGTACAGCCAGTGGAATGCCATTTTCACCTAGAGGAAGGTTCTGTAGACACAAAGCTTAGTTCAAACACATTCTTCCATTCTGATGCCCTTGAGCATGTTGAGTTAGGATAACTTGGTGTTCAATCAAGAATGATCATCTTTCCTTTTTTGTTCTTATCTATTTCAACACCATATTTACTTTTCAAACTAGAACACTCAACTTCTGACACCCTGGGTTTGCCATCATCCAAATATCCTGATCTTTGTTTACAGCATATACATCATCAGCTTTTGTCCTGATCTTTATTCTAAAGAGTTATTTGCCCCCATCTCAAATCAGCTATGAAAATAGTGGTGGCATGTACAGGTATCAGAGAACTAACGCAGTCAACATGAAGATGCAGTATCTAAATATGATGGTCACTCAGAGCTGGGAAACTCCAGGATTCAAGGATGAGCCTTTGGACATAAAAAGTTGGCAGCTTGGTGATCAAAAATGTGGTAGAAATTCACTTTCTATTTACCTCTCTCTTGAAATTTATTCTTGGAGGACAGAACAAAACTTTTTTCTGAAAGAGAGAAGAGGTCAATGAATTAGGTTATTCTGGAGACTTTCCTTTTGTAATTATTGAAGTTTTCACTTCCTAGTGAATATTTGTACTTGGACATCCTACTGGGTCTCAAACCCTAAGAGTCTAAAAGAAAAATGAGCTCCTTTTCCCAATCAGTTCTTCCTCTGGATTTGATAAAATCACTTCCCCCTATTACTCAAATCCAAGACCTGTTGGTCTTTTTTTTTTTTTTTTCTCAGTCCCTTCCCCATCCACTTCTTTTCATTTGCATTTCTTTCTCTCTAGATAAAATCCTATGGTTTCATCCTAGCGATAATTTCTGAGTGTACTTGAGAGGCTTTGTGTAGGGATCACTAGGACCCTAGTGAATTGCTCAAGGGATGGAATAGTGTTTTGGGAAGTACAAAGAAGAGATTGACCATGGACAGAACAGCCCAGAAACACTTCACTGAGGGGTCCAGATGGAACAGTGTCTTGAGTAGCATTTAGTAGGTGGAGGACACTGGGAAGCTATGGCTGAGGTCTGTTTTCATCAATTTTCCTTCTAGCTAACCCTACCTAATACCACCAGGGAGAGCTACTTTTCTCTCCTGACTTCAAAACCCTTTGCTTGCACTTAAAATTCTTCGCTATTAGCACCAATCTGCATTTTTAGCTTTGTCGCACGCATCTTTTTTTCTCCTAAGGTTTACCTCTTTCTCAATCATGCTATGGAATCCTAATGGGAATTTCTTCACACTTCTGTTACTGACATCTCCCTCATCCTTCAAGGAATTACACCCATTACCTATCTGCCCCTTGTCCTTATCGTACCTCCATCAGCTGTTGTAGGGTCTGTCCTTTGCAACGCACATCCCGCTTCCAGTGCTTTGATTTTGTTCCTCTTCCTTTAATTTCAAATTCTCTTGGTGTGAACCAAACTCCCTCCTCATTCTGAATGCACTTCTCTGAGGGTCCTATAAAACAAAGACAGCCCATCCCACCATCTACTTCCATCCTCTGAATTCACCCTAAACTCCAACCTCCTGTTTGTGGTGTTCTATCTTTCTGGGTTCAGAGAGACTCCCTGGGAGGCAGATCCAGTAGGAGGGAGTCTGGGTTTCTTCTCTCTCAGATTGAAGGAAGCCCTAAAAACTGTCTGAGTGGTAAGGCTGGGAGAGAATCGGCATTTTATGTGACACCTTCATGTGGCAGGGACATGGTGATCAGTGTCCCGGGGTCCATGGATGGATGACTTCTTTTGGAGAGTGTAGTGGCCAATAGGTATACCACAGCCAGGAAAAGTTTGAAAATTCCTTTTTAAAAGATACTCCCCCTGCCCCCTCCCTTCACCCTTCTTTTCCCTGCACCCTGGCTTGCAGGGCTCATTTCCTAAACAATCACATACCTGGGTATGTTCCTCCCCTCTAGGATTCCTTTGTTAGGGCAGGGCAGGGAACTTTTTTTTATGCTAAGGACCACTTCGATTATTTATGACATCATTTGAGGGCCATACAAAATTATCAACTTAAAAATTAGCCTGCTATATTTGGTCAAACATTTAATTAACTCAGCCCTAATGCATTGGTAGGGCCTGACCAAATGATTTTTTCAGGCCTTTGGTTCTGGATGTTTCCCACCCCTGGTCTAGAGGTTCCAAAGAACAGACTATCAAGGAACTCACCTTTTTTCATTTTCTCCTTATATAAAATCCCCGTCTCCCCACCACAGGTCACAGGAAGTGTAGGAGACTGAAAGTCCACAGCATCATCTTTGGGTTTTTCTGAAAGTGGACAAAGAGCACAGTTTGTTACTCAATCCTTATTCTATCTCTCTCATGAATCCTCCTTTCCATGAGCATAAGCAGCACACCTTCCTTTACTTGGTGAAGGCAGCACACTGAATCATGGGGACCTTGTGTCCCCAGTACTTCAGAAATGACAACCCTGCCTCTAAGGAAGGGAAACAATTTTCTGAAGCGTTCCCCCAAATCTTGTGTCTGTCTCAGCTTTCCTCACAAATTTCAGCAAACAGGCCTTTAAGGGTGGAACCCTGCCTGGAATGCTCCAGTGTGGATTAGGTCACCATTAGTAACCATCAAGTCAGGGTGAGCCAATAGGAGGAGCCTGCTTTGAAAGTGAGGAATTGAAAACCAAAGAGACAGAAAGCACTGTGGAGGAAATTAAAAGAAAAGCCTCACAGAGAGAAGGAAGAGCAGAATGGAAAAACAACAACAACAATAAAATAATTAGCCATGGGAAGACTAACTCCAGGAATTCTTACAGAACATAGGAAAAGGGCAGTAGGTGAAAAATGATATGGAAAGACACTACCTGGACAAAGATCTGGGAGCTTTATGATCAGCACACACATTGTACTGCTTATTTTCACTACCATCTGTGAAACAGGGAAGGCAATGATGATCCCCATTTTACAGGTGGGGACACAGATTTAGATCTAGAGAGAATTCCTGGTGGTCACCACATTTCATGAGACGCAGCTGGCTTTGGGATCCATACATACCATCTAGTCTAATGCTCTTCCCATGCCATTCAAAGGGCCTCAACAAGACTCCCTAATATAGTAGTATAATTGATAACAGTACAGAGACACTGTTAGAAGGCACAGCCAAAGGTGGGAATGTTAAGGAGGCAGGAGAAGCTGATGCTGGTGGATAAAGGTTAGTGTTTGTCTGGATTCTTGCTTACACTAGCATTTTCTAAAAAGACCAGGGATTGTTTTTTTTCTTGTAAAAAATGAAGAACTTGAAATTTGAACACCTAAGTTTTTAGCTCATGCAATTTTTTTTCTGTTTTAATTAACTATAAAATGAGTTGAATCATACTTACTTGAGAGTTAAATGATAAAATGTAGAACAAAGTGATTTGACATTTGTAAAGTGATGTACACACTTATATTGTTGTCAGGGCCTCTGTTTAAGGATGTGTGGGTTGTGAACGGAGCAAGGATTCCACATGGGAGGGGCCTCTGATTTGCATTCAAGGCAGAATCCATCTGTACACTTCCTACAGCAATCTTCCAGCAGAGGGCAGAAAAGGCCGTGGCTTCAGGAATCAGCTCCAAGGGATGTGGGGAACATGATTGAGGAAGGAACACCCTTTTCTAGTTCACAGGGGCATCATTTGGGTAAATGAGGGCCCTGATGTTGTTGGTATTCATCCTTGATGAGGAAGAATGAATAAGGTTTTGATGACTTGTCAGTTACTTAAGCATAAAAAGTGTGAGGCACAGGGGAGACAGCAAGACTGACCCACTTACTGACTTCATTTGACTTTCACACAGTGAACAGAACCTACACAGATAGTTAATGACAGTTGTAATAAGTACCAGAGAGAAAAAAATACAGGAAGCCCTACTCCTGCCTGCAGGGTGGAGAATGCTCTATTCAAGGTGAGGCCTGAGGATGTATAGCAAAGGGAGAGATGGGGATGAGGGAGCGTGTGTGTATGTGTGTGTTTGGGGGAGCAAGGCACACCTAGCAGGCCCTGAACAGGAAGAAAAAATAAAGCATTCAGTGTCAAAGGAATCTATGTGTTGAGAAATCAGGCTGGTGGCTACCAAGGAGTGTGGGTAGGGATTGGATTATGGGAGTGGATTGTGTTCTGTTTCTTGACTCGGTGCTGGGTACACATGGGCTCTTGTTTTGTGTTAATTCCTCAAGCTGTACAGGTATGGTGCATGCATTTGTCCACAAGCATGTCACACCAGTGCTACTAAGCATGTGGCCTGTGAAGAGACAGGATCTTGACCAGGATAGAAATTAGTGTACTGCTGCCTGCACTGGGTAGGTCTGGCCACAAAAAACAGTGTGTTCAATGTCACAGTATGTTCACAAGCTCTGCAGACCTGCAACAAACAGCCTGAAGATGGCACCAGTCTATAGATCCCACTTTGAATAGCACCTGCTACATACTTTAATAAGTTAATGGGACTAAAAAGACCAATGTTGCTTGTGCCAGAGAGGAAAAAGAGAGTGACAAGAAAGAATGCTGAAGAAGTAAGTTATGAAAGCAAAGTGAGTACAGGAAGAAAAGTGAGTACAGGAAGAGGAGGAAAAGAGAAAGGAGGAGGAGGAGAGGAGGACAGTCAACCCAGGAGGCACAAGAGTTCAGAGGGACAGAAGCAAATCCAGAACCTGACCCATGGAGACCAGACCTGCACTCCTGACTAACTCAGGAAGAGAAAGTCAGTCCCACCAGAAATGAGAACATGCTCGGCTTTGCTTAGCTTAGGGTTTTCACCAATTCCTAGAATGAAGAAAGTAGATGTTTATATTAAACTGGACTCATGTGTTTGGTCATTTTTCCTTATCGTTTTTGGGTCTCTATAGGTACTGTGTTGAAGAGTGCTTGCTGGGGCACAACTTGGATAGATTGGATGGCAGTGGGGCAGTACTCCTTACATCATTCACTGGGAGTGTGTCACATGTGGCACCTAGTTGGAGTAGAGAAGAGACCAAGGAGGAGGACAAGAACAGTGGGAGGGGGTGCAGAGGAGGGGAGGGAGAAAGGAACTTTCAGCTCCTAAGGGCAAGTCTCTGCCTTGCTTACTTACCCTTATAGGAAATACTTTTCTGACAACTTATTGTTGAACTGGAACAGACATCTTTTTTTTTCTTTTCTAAAAAAAAAGTCAATTATAATTCACATGCTTTATATGTCAACTACATTGAAGTAACATTTCTTATCTTTATTCCAATTTGGAGAAAGACAGATATGAATTCTTATCAAAGGAAAATCATAGCATTGACCAAGTAAAAATAGCAAGCTCATGTTAATATCAATAGATAGGAAGGCTAAAATATTACAGAAGTCAAAATGTCAATTATTATATATAGTAATATGTATAATAATGTGTATGTATACATTTAATACAAATACTATGAGTTAATAAAGGATTAGCCTTTTACATATTATATAGGAAGAACGTTTTAAGGCAGAAGTACAGGGCATAAAGCAGTGATTCTCAACGCTGAGTGATTTTGACATCCAGGAGCTATATGGCATGTTGGTTTTTTTTTTTTTTTGGTTTTTTTTTTTTGTTTGTTTGTTGTTGTTTTTTTGTCATGACTGGGAGGCAAGTGCTATTGGCCTCTGATTGGTAGAGGCCAAGAATACCAAGTTGTAAAACTCTAGCATAAAACATACTGGAAAAGATAAACTGACTTGTCTAACACAAATTTAAAAAAGGTTTCTATAACCAAAAATTTCTTAAGTTAGAAGACAAAAACAAAACAAGAAAAATTGCAATAACAAAGCGTTAATTTTGATTAAACAACAACAACAAAAAGAATATTCTTATACAAAAATGGCATATATGAACAGGTGATCCTTAAAAAAAAATTCTAATAAAAATTTTATTAAAAAATAGGTTCTGGTCATTTACGATTGTCCCAAACTTTGGTAGTTTATTTATAGGTGTAATCAAACGACAGCCTGAGGGCCAAATTGGCTCAATGCCAGTTTTGTAAATAAAGTGTTATTAAAACACAGTCAGGTCCATTTGTTTATATATATTTATTTCTGGTGGCTTTTGTGCTACAATGACAGTGTTGAGTAGCTGCAAAGAGACAGTAAGACCAACAAAGCCAAAACTAGTCCCTTTTTATTATTGGTCCCTTTTTAAAAAAGTTTGCTAAATGCTGGTTTAGAAAAACACAGGTTTACTTCTTCCTGGTGCTGTTTATTGATCACAAGTTAGAATAGGTCCCGCTCCATTGACACTCATGGAGTCTGGGACAGAGATGCCTAACATTGCTGAGAATGACAGAGAATGAAACACAGGGGCTCTCATATCTTTGGTTTGGAACTGACCCTCTCACATCTGCCCACTTTTCTTTGTCATGTCAAGTCTCATGGCCATTCCTGAGTACACAGAGCAGGGATATACACTGAGTGGCCAGATTATTATGATCTCTGAACGCATAATAATCTGGTCACTCAGGATGTGTGTGTATGTGCGTGTGTGTGTGTGTATATATTGCACATATATATTATGCATATATATATATTATGCGCACACACACACACACACACACACACACACACACACACATATATATATTCATGCACCAGGCCTCTAATCTGCTAATATAAATATATAGAGGCCTAGTGCATGAATTCGTCCATGGGTGGAGGCCAGCCAGCCTGGCCAGGGGGAGGGAAAATGGGCATTTGGCCTGCCTGCTTGCTGGCTGAACTCCTGATAGAGTGGACAATTTGCATATTAGCCTTTTATTATATAGGATATACACTGAGTGGTCAGATTATTATGCATTCAGAGATCATAATAATCTGGCCACTCAGTGTATAATCTTCTGAAATATTGATGAGCAGTTATACAACCTGTAACAGCATGTTTAACCACATGCATAGTGCAAAGAAATTCAAAGAGAAACATTGGAGGAATATCATTTTATGCTTTTCAGTTGTCTTACACAGAAGTCTCATTATTGTGAAGGTGTAGGAAAGAGGATGTCCAGATCTCATTAATGGGAGTCTAAAGTAGCAATTATTTGCTTATCACTAAATGCTCACTTTAAATATGTAGACTCATTGACCAATTGACTTCACTTTTAGAAATTCACCAGTAAAAAATACTACTGAGAATGAGTCCACTTTAGGGATTTGTGACAGTCTCCTCATTAGGTCACCTTGAATCAGAGAGGAGCCCCAGATTCAGTGGAACAGTGGTGACTCTACCAATAGAAATGTAAACAGTCGACACTGGGAAGTGGTCATGTGAGTCCACAGGGCACAGCTGAGGTCAACTGCACCCAGGGGACATACTTATTTCTTCCAACAATGGCAGGGGTCTTCAAACTACGGCCCGCGGGCCACATGCGGCTCGCAGAGGAGTCTGATCCGGCCCGCCAGGTTTTTTGGGCAGTGAGCGCAGCCGAGGTGTTACAGTAGGAATTAGTAGTTCATATAGTCCGGACCTCCAGCTCTCTGAGGGACCGTGATCTGGCCCCCACTTTAAAAAGTTTGAGGAGATCTTTGCTGTCTTCATGTCCTTCTTGTCTACACTCTGTTCTTCTCATATTAACTTTTCATGTCCACCTAACACTGTGCCTGCTGCGTGAGAAACCCTCCCACACCGAGCCTTCAAATGATAGATTCTGTCACCAGCCTTACCCTTAGGTCCAGATGTTTGGGCACATTCAGTCTTTGCCTTTTGGGCCCTTGTCATCATCCTTGGGTTTCTGGTTGAGTTGTTATTTTGAGTTGCCTGATCCACCATTTGAGGCTTCTGTTGGGTTCTGGGCACAGATGAGGTGGTTCCTGGGCCAAATAAGGATTTGTGAGTAGTTTCCATTGGGGTCCCTAATGCAGTTCCTCTTTCCCGTTCGTGACCTTTCTTCTGATGCTCCCTGACTCCACACTACCGGGAAATCCTGCATCCCTATACCTCACTTTACCTTTCTGTTTTTCTATAAATACTCCTCTTCCTTCTCACAATACACCTTCTGATTCTGTATTCCCCTTCGACTCCTCTTTTTGTTAATTACATGTGCATCAGTGAGACTGAAAGCTCCATGTCTGTTTTGCTCTCAGATGATTTCTCAAGACCCACCCACCTCAACCCAATTTATCTTTGTTGAATGAATATACAAGGGCATTTAATATTTTTGAAATTACTAGAATTATGAACTTTTCATCCTTATAAATCTCAGTGTCCTAGGGTTCCCTAGTTATTAAATCAATAAGTTTCAGGGTAGGGCAGATGCTGGCTAGAACTGAGAAGTCATGGCTCAGTTGAAACCATTTTGGAGACATTACACATCCTGAAGCACAAAATTTGCTGAGAACAAAGGGAATTTCTAAGTTCCAAAGATTTTCTTCATGTACCAAGAAGAAAGATTTGGAAGTCTGAATGTAAAATTTTCATACAAGTCACTGGTAACAAAAACTCAGCATATGATAAAAAGTAAGTTTCCTCCAGCCTAAGCAGGCACTAGGGTTGGGATTTGGGAGAAAAGACAAGGGTTGGAGGAGGGCACAGAAAGAAGTCTGAGTCCCTTCATCCTCAAGATTGAGGGTGTTGGAAAGAAGCAGGAAAATGAGGTATATCTAAAGCAGGGAAGCTCATGTGATGCTGCATGTTTGGAAGTTGAGATAAGGTCCCTTTAGAGGGTACCCAGTACTCCATAAGGTAGGAAATCCAAGCGATTTCTCACCTACTAGCATATTTCGAGCTGTAGAAAAAGGAAAGGAGAAAGAAGAGGAAAAAGGGAAGAGGGAGAGAATGCAGAGGAGAAGGAGAACAGGGTGATGAAGACAGCAGAGAGAATAAAGGAGCCAGAAAAATGCAGTTTCATGAATTGTTACTTCCTGTAGGAAAATAACACAAGTTTCATGGCAGATGCATGATAAGTAGGTGGTTTGGTGCATTCAGTGACTATAAATCTAACTCCAGCGTAATGTGGGGAATCTGAATCCTTCCTGCACATTCAGATTTGTTTTATCTATTCTTCCTGGCTCTCAACTTGTACTAGACACATTTCCTAATCTCAAAATTGTCTGATGCCTCTTGCCCACCTCACCCCCATTCCTTTCCAATGGTAAGAAAAAAAAGCTTTTGGAAACGACAGAATGTCTGGGTCCTTTTTTGTGAGGAGAAGTCCTTTCACAGGGTGGCTTAAGGGACAGGGATGGAACTAGCCATGTTCCCGTGACACCAGGTGATCATGTGCCTGGAAAAGAGACCATGCTTGTTCTGCAAGTGAGGGACCTCATGAATAGCAAGGAAGTGATGACTTCACTCTTCTTGCTTACTTTTCAGGAGCCTTTTTTTCTGTCTTGTTTTTGCCCTTGAGCAGCTATATTTTTTTTGTCTATTTTCTAAAATAGAAAAAATATATCTCATGGCCACACAAATTGATCTACAAGAGCTAGATGTCAATACTTTATAAATCAATTTACTTCTGTCTTTCCATCACTTTGAGGAAGAAGAAAATCATGAGATCTATGTAAAAAAAAAAGTACTCCATTTTAATTTCCATTTTACTTGGAAATTAAAAAACTTGAATAAAGAAGTAATAAAGATATACTAAATTGTTAACGTTTAAATAAAGTCTTTTTATTCAAATTTATAACTTGGTTTTTAAAGAATTGAAGAATATATAGAGAGAGATTATTATAAGATTTAGATATAAAATATTTCTTAGCCAAAACTCAAGGCCAGAAATTATAAAGGTAAAAGATAGATTTGACCATTAAAAATTTTAAAAATGTCCACACTTCAGAAAACATCCCCACAATATTAAAACAAAAAATAAAAAAATATAGAGAGTAAATATCCTTAATAAATAACACAAAAGATGAATAACACAAAAAAATGGGGCAAGAACATAAATTTAAAATGATTAAAATAGAAATACAAATAATAACTTTATTTAAAAGTTATATTCAGACCATTAAAAATATAAAAATGCATTGCTTGGTTTTAAGGATACCCCACACTTTAAAAAATTTATCCTATCTAAGTTGATGAAGATATAGTTAATGAGCACTCTTGTATTGTTAAAGAGAATGTAAGCAACTGCATTTTTGACAGAACAATTGCGTGACATATACGATATTTAAGATAAAAAGATTGAAACCAAGTAATCTCACATTTAGAAATTCCAAGGAAATTATTGGAGAAGTGTGGAAAGATACAAATACATGTAAATAGGGCATACATGGGGAGGGGTTTAGGATGGGAATGGGGGGATCAGGACAATTATGTGACACCATAATCAATAAAGAAATTAAAAAAACACATGTGAATATGATTTCTATTTTCATATAAAAATTGAAAATAGCCTAATTGTTCATCAATAGGTGATGACTTAAATTGTTAATCATACAATAATGTGCTATGCAGTTAAGAGAAAAGAAATAGGGAACACTAACATGAAGATATGTGCATGAAATTTGCAATAAAAATGTATTAATAAAATAGACTAATAGAATATATATGTACACACACACACACACACACACACACACACACACAGCATATGACAACTGGTAAGAGTGACGTGGAACCCACCCAGACAGAGAACATCCAGATTCTACACTTACCCTTTTTCCTCGGAGATTTCCTCAGAGGCAGTCTGCTTCCATCATCCAGGGGATCTACAAAGTAATGACAAAGTTATTTTTAAATAAGCAGGCTTTACATTTGTTGACCTCACTCATTTCAGACAATATTAAGATGACAAAGCTTTAACAACGCTATTTCTGTCCCTTCCTTTCTGATGGGGAATCATGGCTCCGAGGCATGAGTCCTGTACGCAGAGAATCGTCTAAAACCCATTTGACCTTTTACACTTCTCAGTATTCTCATCTGTAAAACTGAATAAACTACTCACACTTCTCCAAGGGCAGTTGTGAAAATAAATAGAATTTATCCATGAGAAAATTGGAAGTGAAAGAAAATAGAAGTCAGTGCAATGGAGGAAGCAGAAATTGGGTGACATATATGAAATTTATAATGGAGAAATTGTGAAAATGGTCATTTATTTCAAAGGTGGTCAAACTTAACACATTCTTTGGGGCAATGACTAGATATTTGTTGTTTGTGAGTCAATGTGGGATTTTTAAGTTGTGATTTGTAAGTTGTCATATAATGACCAAAATCACCAACAAACAGAAGGATGTTCAGCTTTTCCGCCTCAACAGTGAGTACAAGGAGCATAAACAGTAGCCATGGTGAGAATGAATTAACATGCAGACGTTCATGAGCGCATGCCAACATCATCATCAGTTGCTTGTGCTCAGTTATACTATTATGTTTGTGTCTATGATGAGATGTTCTCTTTCCAGTCATGGAGATTGAGACATATAAGAAAAAACTTGATCTAAGGCTTGGGCACTTCCAATAAAATGCCAAGAATATGCTTAGTGCATGAATTCTCAGTAGTGGTGATACTGGCCAAAAATTTATTCCTGGGGGGGGGGGGGGAAATCTTACTCTTTTTTATGTATAAGGCATAAATAAATATATGCAGTCCCTAAATCAACATATATCTTGTGATATTAAAATGTCATGGGGGTGTGTGTTCTGGATTAGGTAAAAAACACATGCAAGTAGGCTCCCAAGGGCAGTGATAATGAAAAGAGGGCTGAGAAACTCTTGCTTAGAGTAAAACAGCTCTGAATCTGGGCTCCAGAGACTGTACTCTGAGACTCACAATCCCTCATCTGTACCTTGTGTGATTCTTGGTGGCGTGCTGGGTGGGTCCTGGGGACTCTGCTTCATTCATATCTAAAGTGTCATCACTGACCTCTCAAAAAAATAAATGCCATTCTGTTCGGATCTCAGTAAACATGCCCTAGAAAAATCTCATGGGGAATCTCGCAGAGATCCAGGGAGGAACCCTGCACACCCTGCAGCTGAAGGCTGGAGGTTGCACATCTTCTAGAACCGCCACGGTGCCCTCCTGTGTGTCCATCACCAGGTAGCTCCCACTCAGGGCAGCAGCACAGCCAATGAGATAGCAGTCATCCGAACCCCTGGACCAGAGGCTCAAAGGAAGGTCATGAACCCCTGAGGAGTTCTAGAAACCCTTTTAGGAGATTTGTGAGGTCAAAGCTGTTTTCATAACAAAGTATCCTTTGTCTTTGTCACTATGGAGCTTTTTCTACACATAGATCAAGAACTGCTGGTGCCTTAGGACAAATCAAAGCAGTGTCTCCAAACCAACCATAGGAGTGGTTACTCCTCACTGTCACTCACCAGAAAAAAAGAAAAGCAAACCAGTTTTAAGAATGTTCTTGATGAGGCAGTAAAAACTATTAATTTTATTACATTTCTATCTTTGAGTACACATCCTTTTTATAGTCTTTGTGCCCTAAGTCCCAGCTGGGGTCAGCTGTACCTTGTAATCACAGCTGTTTCTTTAACAAAAACTCCTCAGATGTAACCTGCATTTGTGCCTTCTCTGTTGTTCCTGTCATACCTCATGGTCTTTCCCTGCATTGCTCCCTCCTTCACATGTCCACCTAATTCTGTGCCTGCTGCACAAGAGACCCATACTGAGCCTTCAAATGACAGATTCTGTCACCAGTCTTACCCTCAGGTCCAGATGTCTGGGCACATTCAGTCCTTGCCTTTTGGGTCCTTATCGCCACCTTTGTGTTCCTGGTTGAGTCATTCTTCCTTTGAGTCTCCTGATTCACCATTTGGAGCTTCTCTTGGATTCTGTGCCCAGGTGAGGTCAGTCCTGGGCCGAATAAGGATTTGTGAGTAGTTTCCATTGGGATCTCCTCTTAGTGACATTCCTTCTCATGCCTTTAGCCCCCAAATGTTGAGATCTCTGTACCCCGTGCCTCACTTTTCTCCTGCTACTTTTCTGTAATTATATATATTTTATTGTGTGTGCCTTAATTCCCTTCCCCCATCCAAAATTTCACCACCTGGTCTCTCTCTTTGTACCTATTGAAATAACCCAGAGAAATTTGGGAGAATCCCAGAGCAGTGGAGCTTATTTTCTGGTTCCTGTGCCTGAGTTACAGCTGCAAAAAGGAGGTGGCCACATCTGAGTAAAAATGGCCTGGTGGTTTGTTTCAGCAGAGGAGGGGCTTTCTAAAGTTACTTCCCCAGGTTCCTCAGGGCTATGTGTGGTATGGGAGAGATGGGGGTGGGGGATGGGTGTGTGTGAGTGCAGCGTGAGTCCGCCTCATTGTTGAAAGAGATCACAATTTTCATTGATTGTGGACTTTAGAAACTGATCCCCTTTAGAGCAAGAATATCTCTTTGAAAGCCAGGGGGACAGTATACGCCCTCTCCTAAAAGATGGACAGATAAACTTTTACTTTTTATTTATTTTTTAACATTCAAGTGCCACTTATGGAGGAAGCAGGAGCGGCTAAAAGTTGGAGAGGAGGTATCCAGGGAGTTCAGTCATGGCAATTACTTAGTATTTATCCAAAACTCACTGGGACCACCTAAAAGAGCCTAACAGTTTCCTTTAACATGTTTTTTTGTGACATGTTTTTCCCTTGTCACAAAAGGAGGGTTTCAGAGAAGTTGAGAACTGTTACCAAAAATAAAGACTACCACCTTTTTTTTTTTTTTTTGCATTCAAGAGTATAATATGTATATTTTTAGTAGGATTATGTATGTTCTTTTTTTTCTCAGAATGTGGTATCTCTTTTCAGGTGTTATTAGTATTTTTAATAAAGATGATTAATTAAATGTAAAGTAAATAATATAGGAACAAAGCCAAATCTGGAAGGGCCTGGCATCTTCTTAGCAGAGGACGGTCTCAGGAGGGAAGTTACTCAAACAGAACAGCTTAACACAAGCCCCGGGAGCTCCCCATTTCTAACAAAGCCACTCTGACTGGGGAGTGTGTGCCGTTGCATAGTCACATAGATGTTCCTGCTCTCAGTTCCATAAACCTTTAGTGCACTATGAGAGTGGATGCTTCAGTATTGGCATGCTGGCCAGAGGGCATGCAAACCATCCATGCCTGCTCTAAACTAGGGATAACAAGAAAGAGAATTATGTGGTTCTATTTCTCTGCCATGAGATTGCCCTCCAATAACTCTCAGTTTATATCAAGATCACATGCTGGTAGTGGTACCTGTGACTCTGCATAGCATAATAATAGATCACAAACCATCTTTTTTCAGATCATTCTTCAAATTATGGGATATAGAAAATATGGTTTCTTTCATTTCCCCCCCCATTCAGGTAATAATTAATGTTGATTTCTGTGCCTGGAGATTACCATCTAGCTTAGAAGAGACAGATTACTTAAGTAGTAATTACAATGGAGTATGTGGAATCTTCCCAAAGGGCCAGTGCTGAGTGCTATGGGAACATGCAATGTAACCATCTTATCTAATTTAGCATCAGAGAACACCTTGAAGTAGTCATTGAAGCCAACACCAGTGATGAACAGGAGATAGCCAAACATTAATGGGAAGTAGTGTAGGCTCAGAATGTATTATTCAAAGAGAGGAGCATATACCAAGGATCAAAGAGGAGAGAAATGAAACAGGAGGAATGAAGTTCAGAGTGTCAGCTGGAGTTTTGAGTGAGAAAAGATGGAGTTAAAGAGGAAGAGAAGGGTTGGATTGGAAAGAGCATTGTCAATCACACTAAGAAGTATGAACATTATTCTAAAAGCACTAGAAGGTCATGGATAAGTTGTAAGCATGGGAATGAAACCATCAGATTTTAGTGTAGCAAAGAGAGGACAGAACCAATAGAACTTGTCAATATATTAAGGTAGATAATCGGGTGGTCAAGGATGGCTTACTTTTTGGCTTGGCAACAGGGTAACTAATTTCAAGTTAAATAAACTCCAAATTCCTCCCAAAACCCTGTGAGGGCCACATGATCTGGCCTCTCTCTACCCTCACCTTGTACCACCTTCTCCTTTCTTCATCATAGCCCAGGTAAAAAGGGATGAGACCAGAACTTGGAGACAACTCTAAGTAAAAGATAAGGATACCTAGGGTTTCTATAGCTCTTGGAAAGATACATTTAAATTCCAAAAAATTAGGGTACAGACCCAGGATGCTTTTCTAGTCCTGTATAAAAACAGCAAACCCACTATTCTCCATTCCTTGTCTATAGAATGTAATCTGCCATTCACATAGAAAGATTCCATCAACTCTTTTTGCTGCCTGTGGGTATGCATGTGAGGGATATACGCTGCAATTGTGATTATCAATAAAAATTATTTTCCCTGACCCAGGTGACTTGTGTTTCTGTAGTAGTCGTATATCTAAGGAATATGACTATGCAAGTGGTGTTATAAGTCATCCGGTCACAGTTCTTGGCAAATCACATATTGGGCACAACTGCATGGATGGTTAGCACAGATCTTGAAATGGACAGGTGAAAAACTAAATTATAAAATCTCCCTCCAAATATATTATATCCTTTTTCAGCAACAGGAACCACCATTCACCCAGACATTCAAGCCAGAAATTGAGATCACTGTCTTTTTCATCTTGTTTCCAGTTTATCAAGTCTTGTCAACCCCACCTCCAAACTGACTTTGAATTGGTCCTCTTCTCTCCATCTTCACTGCTTGATCTGAATCCAGGTTACTATCAACTCTCATGACATCTGCTCTCCAAATGGTTTCCTTATTTCTATTCTTTTCTATTTCCAATTCATTCTTTACACAGCACCCAAATCAGTCTTGTCTAGTTTAAAATTGGATAGTGTCATTCACTGATTAGATCTGTCAATGGCTCCACATTACATTTAAAATACAATTCACCTTCCCACACCTTGACCTACAAGCATGAGCTTGTAGGTCAAGGTGTGGGAAGGTGAATTGTATTTTAAATGTAATGTGGAGCCATTGACAGATCTGACTCCAGCCTCCTCTTCTACTGTCATCTTACCTCTGGGAAGTCTTTTTTTCTGTTGTCTCTTTTTAGGAACTGACCACATACTTCTTTTTCTTTTCTTTCCTAAAAAGACAGAATACATATAATCTTTTATAGCTACACACATAGATCTCTCAATTGTCTTATGCCAACAATTCTCAACTTTTATGTTTGGCTTTCAAATGACAATGGCTAGGCAGTCATTGGTGACCTTAGGTAATGCTGCTTCATGGAGTAATGGCAGAGAAGAAATTCTAAAGTGGCAGAGGCAGGAGAGACATGAAGAAAAGAAGAGAATAATTCCAGGTAATGCATTTCTAGAAGCTATGCTGTGAACTGGAGGGAAGGGGTATGGAGGCAAGTGAAGAGAGATGGGGATCAAGATAAACTTGCTTTATGAGCTGGGATAGGTATGGGCATTGGTTAGGATGCAGATCCTATGAGAAGTTGATGCTGAATTCTACAGTCAGGTGAGGTGGAAGGATTGCCTTGGAGAGAAGGAGGGAACCAGAAAGGAGGAAATTCCCACCTGGTGGGTTTCTATGAATTAGGAGGAAAATTAATCTCTTGAGAAAAAAAAAAAAAAAAAAAAAAAAAAAAAAAAAAAAAAAAAAAAAAAAAAAGGAAGCATAAAGAGGGGCAGAAGTTTGGGGGGGAAAATGAGCTCAAAGTTTAAAAAAGGATCATCACAGGAAGTGGGATTGTCATTTAAAGGAGGTGTGACTAACCCTTTATGAAGTTGTGGCTATAGGAGAACTTGGTGATTGCAGAACAGGCAATTTCAAAGGATGCATATTATAATGGCTCTAAATGCCTTCCACTTTTCCTATCATTTAATGAAGGCCTCAAAGGTAGAGGCAGTGAAAGGGAATTGCAGAAACAAATAGTCCTGAGTGTCATGACTACAATCACAGAGAGAATGCCCATGACAAGATCCAATCAGAAAAACGGGATGCAGCTTCGCATTCCTCCTCCTGATGCCTATAAGAGGAGGACAGTCCTTACCTTTCCTGAGGAGAGGTGTGCTGGCTGCCTCCTGGGGCTCTGCTGGATCATTTGGTTCAGGAGAATCATTTCTTATCACTGATAAGGGAAACAGAATTCATTTCAGAGGTCAGATGGGCTAAAGAGAAAATACTGAAGGAGCTTGATGTGAGAACAGGAGGATGGAGGACATGTGTGGCCAGGGCTGTGGACCCACCAGTTCAGGGCTTCCTACCTCTGCCCTGAGTCAATCAAACTTGTGGTTATTGTGACTTACATGACTACCCCAGAACCAGGGAACAATTGCCCGTAGAGGAGGGTTCAGTTTGGCCCATTGAATGGACTACCCTTACTCAGTGGAAGATGAAACCAGGGACTCTCACTCAGGGAATGAGGCTGAGAGCAGTGGAAGTGGTGACCTTGAATTCTGTTAGCCACAGTGAAAGTGAATGTCTGCCATATAAAAAGATATATGTTATTGCTTAGATGTCTATGAATGGATATTTTTAACCTGTTCTACCTGATTATTTCATCCTGAGAAGGCTAAGTGCCTTATATATATATATCAGCTGAAGAAAGCCGGAGCCAAAGGGTACTTGCTAGCACTTGTTAACAGCAAATAAATACAACAGTTCTTAGTTTCTGCTGCACTAAGAAAGACAGAAGGGCTCAAAGATAGAAAGCCATCACAGAGACCCATCTCAAGAAAGCTATCACCTTTTTGTCTTCACATCCATATCAAATTCTGGCCTATTTAGGAACAGATAACTAGGACAGGTGGCAAGCATAGACCCTTTAAACAATTTGTTGCATTTAAAACTATTTAAATAATATCAATTTTTAAAAACCTAAACATGCAGGGATTTTGAGGGCTAACAGTGATTGTTTCCCACAGTTAGGGTGGGGACTGGGCAGGAGGGCCATCCATGTCTGGGGCTCTGATTCAGTGTTAGGGCCACACAGTGGTTTTGCTTGCTTTGCATTTTGATGGAGCAGTTTTGAACCTTGCCTTATTTAAGTGGCCTCAGAGGGTGAGTCAAACAGTCTTGCCTGGCTTCATGCTTTTCTTTGTGTTCCCATCACAACCCCTCTGGAAGGTGAATCTTCTCCCTTTGAAGACCCCTTAGTGGTGTTTGAGTCTATGTCCAGTGGGTATTAGGAGGGCTCCCATCCCTTGTCATTGGTGTCCCCTTCCCAGTTCACCTTGTTTTCCCAGGGACTCTATCTCCCTCTAGGAGCTCAGGTCTCCTGTCTGTCCAAGCCTCCAAGGGCTGGGTGAGAAGCCAGGAGCTGCACCATGTTGGTGGTCAGGATCAGTCTCTAGAAGGTTCAAATGGATTCTCCTCTTTGCAGACAAAAACTAAGGTGAACTTAAGTTGCTTAAATCAAAATTACCTGGCTCATGGGCTGAGGGAGCCTGGGGCATCTCTTGAGCCTTTTCTTTATCTTTTGCTTGAGGGATCGGGTGGTCACTGGACACTGAGCAGAAGAAGAAAAGGAATTTCAGATGCCAGGACCAGCAAGCAGGGATCAGAGAAGGAGGAAAGAGAACAATCTATTCTATCAGGAGAAAACAATGGGGCCTAGTCTGAATACCAAGGCCTGGTGAGGGTGAGGCAGAATGGGAGAGTGAGCCTTCATTTGCTTTCAATGGCTACTTACTAATTTAATTATGGTACCTATTTTTTTCTTTGAAAAATCTAGAATATGGAATCTTACATTGTTATTCACTCTATGATGATGTTAACCTTAATCATATATCTATATCTATATCTATATCTATATCTATTACCATATATATTAGATGTGTGGAGGAAACATTATTTGGACCAAACAGGACACTTAATTCTCATAATTAATGACACCATTTCTGGCAGCACCTAAAATATACCATGGTATATTTAACAAACTCCAACTCCTTTATAATGACGCTTTGAGGTTAATAAGCGACACAGTCTCAGAAACTAAGTCAGGTCCTACAGACCTTTAAACATGTTGTTCTCTTTTCTAATAATTTTAATACCATTGCTCTTAGAATTCAAACCACATGAAGATGAATAGGGTTGAAACAGAAAGGCCTGTAATCAATCAGAAGGTGGGCAATCAGGTGAGGATGGTGGTGTGAGTGTTGCTCAAGTTAGTTGTCAATCAGAACAGTGTGTTTGAGTGTTGAACATCACAGAGCCGACTGGCTGTGGCAGCGACCCTGACAAGTGGTCCTATGCCAAGTCGGAGCATTGGTTCCCTTTTGTCTTTTTGTTTGTCTCCGGGTTCTTACCACCGGCCTCCTGGTTGGCAGGCGTGTATCCTCCTTTCATAGCTACCTTGAGCTAAACTAAGCCAGCCTCAAGTACATTACCTTGCACAGTTGCAGGGGGAGTGCTGGACATCTGTTGTGAGTCTTCTTCATCATTTTTGTGGGATGTTAAGTTGACCACTGAAAAGAGGAAGGAAAATCATTGCAGGTTAGATGGACAGGGTGTGGGGAGGAGAGTAAAGGGTAAAAATGCCTGGGGCAGATGGAGCACCAAGGTCCAAGGGCAGAGGGTTGGGCTGTTCCAGGGATGGAAGCAGGGCTCTGGGCCCCACACCCAAGCCCCTCGCAGTGTATATAATCCGTCTTAGAAAAGGCTGTATATGGAGGTGGGTGTATGGAAGGGGCAGATTAACCCAAAGGTGGGACCTTGGGTTGTAGACATGGCCACAGGCACCCAGGCTGGCAATGTACAGGTGTTGGACTGAGTCTGTTTCTCACCTGGAGTGGTCCTTCCTTCCTGGATGACTCTTTGGAGAGCGTTGGCAGGGCCAGCAGAGCTGGGTGGCTTGTCCAGGACATTATTGCTGTGCTGTGGGATTGCTCTGGGCTGACTGACTCTGGGCACAGGGGTCGGGCATCTCATTGGGGGGCGTTGGGCTGCAGGCAGTGGCAGCAGGTTCTGACGGGGGTTTCTACCTGTTGAGTTGGCTGGGGCTTCAAAGACAGTTCTTCTCCATCCTCCACAGGAAGCGACAACTGGAATTGATAAAGGAGCACACATCAGCACCCTAGAGACTCAGAATTATGTAGGAAAGAGATTTCTATTTACACACATGATTTCCAATAGGTTGGGGCGGGGGGAGGGCATAGAGGTATTCATTCTCCTCCCAGGTGTAGAGAATTGATTTATCGTCCTCGCTATCTATTTGTGGCCTTTTTTTAATTTATGAATTTAAATTTAGCAGTGGTATACTAACTGTATCTAGCCTTGATCTAACAACAAAGTGAAACGAATATGAAGTTGAGTTTCACTTTGTCTCTAGGGATTTAATTTTTTTAGATTTTCCTTAATTTTGGCTTCAGAATTTAGATAATTATGAATAATGGTTTAATTGAATAGATGTCCCTGTTTTAATAAATAAACACATCGTACTTCCCTATAGCAAATAAGATAAAATATAAATTTCTTTTCATAGTGTTTCTTGTTTCTGCAGACTCAGCTTCCGTGCCTCCTCACCTTGTATCCTGTGATCTGGCCACAGCCAACTTCCTTCCCATTCCTAGTACCCCAGGCCCATGACTTTTCCCAGGCTGTTCTCTGGCATGGCTAATGGTGGGCTTCTCTTATGATTCTTCTCCATAATTTATTTCAGAAGTAAAGTTGTTTCAAACAGTAAACAGAAAAAGGCAAGTAAGGTGGGATTTTGGAGAGGGACCCAGAAAAAAAAAATCACAGAGTAATAGATCAAGAAGGAAGTTTGAGCTCAGCTAGGTCAGAGGGGCACGTTGATGTGTGGTCCCTCTGACTGTCAGATTTGCTTGGCATGGCCTTTGAGAACAACATTTCTCCTAGAAATGCCCCAGTGTTGCCAGGAGTATGGGCCCACATGCCTGCCTGAAGATGACTTTTCTCTTTTGAGGCCCCTTAAGCCCAAGGATTCATTTCTTCTTTTGAGAAGGAGCCTGTGGATGGAAAAGTGTTGGAGAGCAGATGAAGAGCTGTCAACAATAGTGCTCTGCTGCTCTCTCCCCTGCCATTCTTAGATAAGTGAACCTCGTGTTCTCCTCAAACCTGAAATAGTTTTACCATCTGCTCCTCTTATTTTTTTCCCCCCGATCTCTATCACTGTTCTTTTTTCTACTCCTTTATTTATTCAGTTCTTTTTCCCTCTAAGTATGCTTCATGCTCTATGTCTTTCTCATATCCTCTTTCTGCCTCTGTGTTCACACTTCCCCTCCCTTTTCTCTCTCCTCCAGTATCATACTCTGCCTCCAAGCTATCCTCTTTAGTAGAGTAATTAACATTCCAGGCCCAGGTATTAAGAGATCCAGGTAGGAATTCTGGCTCTGCTCATAACAGACAAATAACTTTGGAAAAGTCACTTTTACTTTGAGCTTTAATTTCCTCCTGTGTAATTTGGGGATAATTGTGACTCCACAGGATTGTTTTAAATATGATATGAGACAATCATATGAAGTGCCTGGGATATTGCCTGGCACTTACCAAGCACTCAAAAAGAAAATAATACCACCACCAAAAGATATACTTCTTATTATCTCTCCTTACCCATTACTCTTCCTCTCCTTGTCCTTCCATCAGAAAAGGTCTCTGGTACTTTGCATTTTCTCATATTATGCATTTCTTAGAGACTGTCCAGTATGCTAATCTGTACCATTTTCCCAAATTCTTAAAACAGGTCAGACAGAAACATATGTGCCCTCTAGAAAGTCATCTTAGAGAACCAGGGGTAGAGGCTACACTTGCTGCCACATCTGAGAGAGAGCACGGCCCACACCTTTCCAAAGAGAAAGTGAGCAATTAAAGTGCCTCTTCCACAGGGCTGGAAAACAACCCGAATTTTCCATAGCAACCCCCCTCATGCTTCTATAGCCCCAGAGATATTTAAGAAGCCTCATACCATTTCTGAAGCTCCTGTGAATTGCCTCCAGGTTGGGGTATTCCCGTAGATTGATCTGACTGAACAACATTTCCAGAAATGACAGATTAAATGGATCCTCCAGTATGGTGAGAATGTTGTATACCACTTTGGACACAGGGACCATATTTCTACAGGCTTCCATAGACTCCTTTAGAAACAGAATGAAAGATTATTATACATGATTATAAAGATAAATAGAGATTTGTTATACATTTGTGGTTTTCTAAGTTGTAATAGAGCTATTTTGCTCTTTTAAGGGGGAATTTCATGCAAAATGTATAGTCAAACTCTCTAGTGTAGAGAAATCACAGTTCTACCAGTTTACTTGGGAACTTCATATATATGTATTTTGATAGTCATAGAAATAAATTAGCCTTCTTTAAAATAAGTCTGTTTTGTAAACCTTATTTTAGTTCTATTTGAGGGAATAGAGAAATTTTATTTTGTTTTGTTTTTAAAATATATCTTATTGATATTTTACAGAGAGCAAGGGAGAGAGATAGAGAGCTAGAAACGTCGATGAGAGAGAAACATCAACCAGCTGCCTCCTGCACACCCCCCACCGGGGATGTGCCTGCAACCAAGGTACATGCTCTTGACCGGAATCGAACCCAGGACCTTTCAGTCCGCAGACCGACACTCTACCAGTGAGCCAAACCGGTTTTGGCAGAATAGAGAAATTTTAAGAAAGGAAAGTGGAATCAAAGGCTGTTATGGTATAATTAACTCTCTAAGGCTCTGGGAAGGACACTTTAGTAATTGACCAGGGGTCAGTAACTAGTTGTTATTCTGTTGATTTTTGTTAGCCTGTGTTCTCTCTTTGCCTCTTGGACTTGCGATAGCCTGAATAGGGTCCAGCTATAGGGAGATGACCCAGAAAATTCTTTTTGATGAGAGGATGGCTAAGAAGACAAATATGGCAAGAGAGAATTGATTGCAAATGTTTACGGAGCACCTACTAGTCTAGTTCTTGTGTACAAAGCAATGGAGAAGTTTAACATGTTGCTCCCCTTATGGGGGAGGGGCACTGTCAGGCAAAGAAGATAGGCCTCCTAAATAATAAAAGGCTAATATACAAATTGTTCCCTCTACCAGGAGTTTGACTGGGAGTTCGACCAGAGGGCAGAGCCGGCTGGCCAATCACTCACAGCTTCTCCCCTGGCCAGCCTCATCCTCGATCAGTCCCCCCACTCTGATCAGGGCCGGCCACCAGAACTCACCCATGCACAAATTTGTGCACTGGGCCTCTAGTTAAATAATAAATACAAATTATTAATAAATAAATATTATTGTTGAGAGAAGTTTTATTAAGGGCAATCATAGGAAGAATAATGAAGGAGGTCTTAATTAGGAGTAGGTCATGGAGACATCTCTGAGAAGTGACAGCTGGGCTATGATCAAGAGAGGGCTTAGAGCCAACCAGGCCAAGCCTGGGGGGAGATGATTCTATCACTGCTAACACTTCCCTAGGTTCAGGAAATGCTTCAAACACCCCAAATTATATGAAAAGAGTGCCATTTTTATACACATAGACATATCCCATTGTCTTCCTTTCTTCACATTAGAATGGACCATGGGTGCCATGCTCTTAGGAATTAAAATGGTGCCATTAGTAGAATGAATGGTATCCTCTCCCTCCAAAGATATGTGCACTTGAAACCTGTGAATGTGATCTTGTTTGAAAAAAGTCAGGGAATAGACTCGCTCAGTATCTCCAGAAAAAAAAAAAAATCAACCCTGCCAATTCCTGGATTTTTGATTTCTGGCCTCCAGAACTGTGGGAGAATACATTAAATACTGGTTTTGGTGGGGGGGGGGGCAATGTTAAAATATGTACACAGATAATTTAATTAAAAAATGTAAAAAAATAAAAATAAAAATAAATAAAATAAAATATATTTTTTAAAAAAGTAAAAAAAATAAATAAAAAACTGGTTTTTGTTGATTTAGTAATTTTTTTGGGGAGAGACATTGACTTGTTGTTTCACTTATTTATGTATTCACTGGTTGATTCTTGTATGTTCCCTGACTAGTGATTGAACCCACAATGTTGGTGTATGAGGATGATGCTCCAACTAACTGAGTTACTCAGCCAGAGCCATTATTTCTTTTAAGTCACCTGGTTTGAGATTACCCTATGATATCCTTTTTTTCTGCCAATAAATATTTGAGTCCAGGCCTTCTAAACTCTAGAAATCCAGGGTGCGTGTGTGTGTGGGCGGGGTCGGGGGGGTTGGTTTGGGACTTCAACAATTGGGCATTCTTGGTGAGAACTGGGCTGCTATGTGAACGTGGTCAACATGACTCACCGTGTACATTTTCTCAGAGATGAAGGATTTGTCTCGGAGGCCTTCCAAGAAGGGAAATGGCTTGCATATGGCATAGGAGATCTCCAGCTTCTGGAAGATGAAGTGCTGCCGAAGAGTTTCTTTTAAGTCTCGGGTGATGTTGAACATTCTATGGAAAGGGCAGAAAAAAAAAAAAAGTAAGCAAAGACATTATGGAGCTTGGGAAGCTGCCCCCTGTGTTTAGTGAGCATTCTGGTTCTAAAGGTATACCTGAGCAGTCTGCAAAGCAACATCTGCCTCAAAGACTCTGGTATATAGGACAATACCTAGCAATAACAGAGGCTAAAAGTGAACTCCAACACTTTTGGGATGACTCTGACATCCCAAAGGAGCTGCTGGTTAAACATTAGGCAGGTATTAAAAATAGCTAAAATTAATTGACAGCTTCTAGTGTGCCAGATTTTAAGGGTTTCCCATGAAGTGACTTATTTAACCTTCACAAAACCTTTGATTATTATGATCATAGCCATTTTTATTGTCAAGGACACTGAGACATAGAGGGGTTTAATAGCTCACCCTAAATTGTGCAACCTGGAAGTGGTGCAGGTGAATAAATCCTGACTTTCTTGTTCCTGGCTCCCAGCCATAAGCACTATGGTCTGTGGCTACATTGAGTTGACTTATGATTTCCTAGACTGCAGCTTAAGGCACACCCAAGCAATGCTTATATAGGGGATGGCCTCAAACAGGCAAAAAGATGGAAACATGATAAATCTTAGGAACTTTAATAAACCACCTACAATCTTCAACACACAGATAGGCAAAACATAAATAAAAATACAAAGAATATAAAAGACATGATTAGTAAAGGTGACTTAACTGATTTATGTATCAATTTCATATCTTAGACATGTGCCTTTTCCCATGCCCATGACACATTTATAAAATTTACCATTTGTAGGTCATGAGAAAATAGTAACTTTAATAAGCAGGAAGTTGACAGATGACATTTCCTGACAAATTGTCAAGAAGAGAGAGGCACTGACAAAATATTCATACATCTGGAGATACATAAAAAACAAAACGAACAGAGATCCCATTTTTCCAACACCATTTTATGTCCAAGAGAAAATGGAACTGTAATGACTATTTCCCAGGATTTGATTCCAGTGGCAGATTGAGTAACCCGTCTCTCTCTTTCTTCATTTTCAAATCCTTTAAGTTGAAATTAAAAAAGGATAATAAAAAAAGAAAATGCAGAACAGTACTAGAAAACAAGAAAAAATGCCAGGGTAGGGATGGGGCGGGCATCTATAATTGTGAAGAAATCCTGGAGGATAGAGAACAACTGGGAAAGAAATCTACCATCCACGCCAGGCATGAGGGAAGGATAGTGCAAAGAGCACAGAACTAGAGAAAGTCAGAATGAACACACGACACGCTAAGAAGAGGAAGGGGCCCTGGAGTTACATTTAGGATGACTATGCAACAGCTTTCAGAACAGAACACTCCCCTGTTTCCTCACTCTTAAAAAAGTGTTTTCTGTGATTGTTCAATTACAGTTTACATTCATTATTATATTAGTTTTGAGTGTTCAGCACAGTGATTAGATATTGATATAGTTAATAATTAATGAAGCGACCCCCCCCCCATTCCTTGTCTGTTATGATTCCCAGGGATGAAGCACAGAGAGGTTAAGTATCCTGTCCAAGGTATTCAGTGGCAAAGGAGAGCTCATCTGACCACAGCCCCGTTTCTCGCCAGCACCTGATACCACGTCTCATCTATGAGTGTTCAGACTTTTATTATGTGAAGAAGTCTTAAAATGAGCCAACAAAAGACAAACATCCACATAGAAAAAAAAGCAAAAGACATAAACAGGCAATTATATAATTGCGCAATAAATAGAATGAAAAACAGAGTAACTCACTAGTAGTCAGGACAGTGCAAATAAAGATAACTTAATAACATGTTTGCCTTTCAAATAGACCGAGATAGAACCACAGACTCTCCTGGTGGAAGCTGAAGGCTAACTTAGTAATCATGGCCAAATGTCCTAAAGTATGTTCTCCCTTGAATCCCAGATTCCACTTCTAGAAACTTATTTCAGGTAAATAATTATGGATATGTTTAAAGAAAAACTATAAGAAGTTTACAATACACCACAGATGTATCCTCAATGTACTTCCCTTATTTTCTCCTTTCTCCCAGCTTCCCTACTAGTCACTGCACGGGCACAGTGGATAATGAATGAGTTGCCATTTGGGGCAGGGGGCAGGATCACAGAGCGAGGATGAGCATCTGGGCGAGCAAACTTGTCGCACCCACAACAACAGGCTAGAATTTAGGAAAGAGAAAGTTGAGCTGTATGTGTGGTGCCCTTCTATGTCTGTCCCCCTGTTCAGTAGTCTCCTATTAAATCCACGTGCCCTCTAGCTTTTTGGAAAACACAGTTTTACGGAGAGTACGCTGCACAGTTTAAGCAGTGGAGTTCCACCCTGCAGCTGCTGCCAGGAAATGAAACTTAAAAGCCCAATCACCAAACATGAACAAAGCAGCTAAGTGGAAACCCACCTGGATGCTGAGTTTTCCACCTGCTCCTTCTCTTCCCTAGTGCAGGGACCAGCCAGCGGTTACTCCTGGAAGACGGGAAGACAGGCAGGAAGATACCAGAGGGCGAGGCAGGAAGTCTGTGCTTGGCACACGAAGCAGAGAGGGCCAGGCTTCCCAGGAAAGAAAAGTGAAAGTATTTTGAGCAGTGTGTGCAGGAAGCTGAAGGCTGAACTTGCAGCTTCACTCCACCCTCCGGAAACTTGTGAGGTTACAAGGTACCGGGGGTTGCTGGTGGTGGGCTGCTCCCCATCCAGTCCAGCCTGGGAGGGGGAACAGAGGGGAGAAAGTGTAGGGGTTCAACCCCAGGGTCCTGGGGATCTGAAAAGCCACCATGGGTCTGCTTCCCTATCCTCCTCTATTTCCCATGTCTTGTCCTTCTATACCTTTTGGGTAATGAAAATGTTCTACAACTGGATTGTGGTGATGGTGACAGTCACACAACTGACTACATTTATTGGAAACTGTCCAAGTTTAAAAAACAAACAAGAAATTAAAGGGGAAGTGAGGCAGCTCAGCTATGCTTATAACACACTTTATAATGCTGAGCATTGGGGCTGTCCCCAGTCCCCTGTCTGGACCTACCTCCTCCAGTCCCAGGCTCCCTGCTGTGCCAGGCTAGCTGTCCCTTTCCTTTCTCAAGCCACTTCAGCAAGGGAATGGGACAAACGAGAAGCACCCTTAGTCCCCATACAAAGTTACTGCCTCACCTCAGGACAACTTTGATTCCTTTGAATTAGGCTTTCTCGTCTTCTTTCTTTGGGTAAACAAATGGCCCCCTGTCTTCCTCCTAGATCTGGCCACGCTCCTCCTCCCCGGAACTGACAATGCCCTCTGAGGCTGGGGGGAGGGACAAACACCACAGATACTGGCTGATCTGCCTTTTCACTTTTCTTTTACCCTTTGAGTGCCGAACCTGAAGGATCCTTCAATGGGCAGCTGTTCTCCCTAGAGCTGTGGGAAGACGGTCAGGGAAAGTCTAACCAAGGGTGATCCTAGTCCAGCTCCATGGCCCAGGGGGGCCAGCAGATGGCAGATGGAGACCATAATCTCAACTGCAGGTCAGTCTTCTGTCTTCTCCTGTTCTTCATTTCTGGTAAGGTGGGCATCTACTGTTATTATTTCTGTCTACCCAGCCTCATTTTATAGTTATGTAAGAGAAGGAGATTGCAAATAAATACATAATGAGTGCATTAGGTTTTTAAAATTAAAGTGGGAAAAGTTAAGGCCACATAATTCACATTACATAGTTCCTTTTCTCACCCCCCTCCTCCTCCTCCTCTCCCAACCCTCTCATTTTCCCCATGCCTCCTCTATCCCCACCCACAGACAGCTCTGTCCAGAAAAGGTCTTTTTAGAAAAATTAACTCCCAGTCAAATGCCTGATTGTTGTCAAACCTTTTCCAGTTTCCAGGTAGTTGGCAACCAGTTTTAATTAGAGCCTGAGAGTTGATACAGTGCCTCTGAACACTTGATAAGAGGAACTGAAAATAGGTGGTGCCCAACAGGGACTAATATAATCAAGTGGGGAGCGAGTGTTGCCTTTTTTTTTTTTTTTTTTTTTTTTTTTTTTTTTTTTAATTCTAGGATGTAATACCCATCTGGTTAGAGAAGGAAGCAAATATTCTTTTAAAATGCACAATTTAAAAATCCTATACAATAAAGAGGTAATATACAAATTGAATGTCATTCCAAAACACAAGATGGTCATCCCCATGCGGACATAAGATGGCTGCCAAAAGATGGCCAGCAGAGGAGGGCAGTTGTGGGGGACCAGGCCTGTAAGGAAGGGCAGTTGGGTGGGACCCAGGCCTGTAGGGGAGGACAGGTAGGGGCAACCAGTGCAGGAGTGGAGGGCAATTGGGGGGACCAGGCCTGTAAGGAAGGGCAGTTGGGGGTGACCGGGCCAGCAGGGGAGGGAAGTTGGGGGCAACCAGGCCTGCAGGGGAGGGCAGTTAAGGGCAATCGGGCCAGCAGGGGAGCAGGTAGGCATTGATCAAGCTGGCAGGGGAGTGGTTAGGGGGTGATCAGGGTGGCAGGCAGAAACGGTTAGGGGCAATCAGGCAGGCAGACAGGCAAATGTTTGGGAGCCAGCAGTCCTGGATAATGAGAAGGATGTCTAACTGCCCGTTTAGGCCTGATTTCAGGATCAGGCCTAAATGAGCAGTTGGATATCCCCTGATGGGTCTCAGATTGGAGAGGATGCAGGCTGGGCTGAGGGATACCCCCAGTGCATGAATTTCATGTGTTGGGGCTCTAGTATAATTTAAAAAGGCAAGTTAAATACATCAATATGTTCTTGTTGGTAAAAATTAAAACAATGTATAATTTATGGAAACTTATGCAATGTGGTGGGTCCGCAACACCCAGCACAATCTCTCCTAGCATCAGAGAACATGTCCTGACCTCCACTCCTCCATTTGCTCTCATGACATTTGAAGATGAGTGAGTAGAGCTAGTAGTCCAGTAAAACTTTGGCTTTTAGGCAGGGAAAGAAAGGCAGTGAGAAGTGAGGTCAGCGGTAATGTTAGCCTCATAAAATCATTTAGGAGTTGATGCCCTTGCTTCCATTTTTCTGGAAGAGATTGCAGTTGAAATGGTTTGGTGGAATTCACTAGTGATACCATCTGGGCCTGCTGCTTTCTTTTGGAGACGGGCTACTAATTATTAACCTAATTCCTTTATCAGATATAGGCATATTCAGAGGATCTATTTTTCCTTGTGGAGTTTTGATAGTGTGTGTCTTTTGAGGAATTTGTTCATTTCATTTTTTTTTTTTCAAATTTGTAGACATAGTTGTCCATATTATTTCTGTATTATTCTTTTAACCTCCATGGGATGAATAGTGATTTATTTGTTTCTGTTATTAATAATTTGCCTTCTCTGTTTTTTTTTTTTTTTTTTTTTTTTTTTTTGTTAACCAGGCTAAAAGTCTGTCAATTTTATTGAATGTTTTTTTCTGAAAAATTATCTTTTGGTTTTATTGATTTTCTCTAATGTTTTTCTGTTTTCAATTCCATTGAGCTCTACTCAAACTTTTATGATTCCCTTTCTACTGCTTGCATTAAGCTTATATTTCACTCCCCTCCTTCCCCTTTAGTTTCCTTAGGTGGTAACTAAGTTGTCGCAGAGGCTCCTTACACTGTCATTTTTTTGAAAAACTTTTTTTGTTGTTGTTCTGATTAGGTGTTTTTTGCTTCCTTATATCCCAAATCATTGTTTTGATTATTGGCTTCATCCATGCCTTTTTTTATGGTGTTGAAGTTCTCTCTAAGTTCATATACACTTTCCCTAAGATCACGGAGCATCCTTTTAACCAGTGTTTTGAACTCTGCATCTAGTAGATTATTTGTCTCCATTTTGTTTAGTACTTTTTCTGGAGTTTTGTTCTGTCCTTTTATTTTGGACATGTTTCTTTGTGTCCTTATTTTAGCAGTCCTGTGTTTGCTTCTATGTATTAGGTAGAGCTGCTATGTCTCCTGTGCTTGGTAGAGTGCTAGTAGGTGTCCTACAGGGTCCAGTGACACAACCTCCTGGTTCACTCCAGCTGGGCCTCCAGGTGCAACCCATTGTGGGCTGTGTACATCGTCCGGTTGTGGTTGAACTTTTATTGCTGTTGGTATACTCATGAAAGATATTTACCCCCAGGCTGATGGGTTACTGGATGTAACTATTGTGGATGATCAGCTGTGCAGAGCTCTGGTGCTTGCTGAATCCATCCCTTGAGTGTGTCAATAGTGGGTGGTAGTTCAATGTGGTGTGAAGCTGCTTACTGGGTGTACTGATTCTGGGGCCACCTGGCATAGCTACAAAGAGGTCTGCAGATGATTGCTACTTGTGCTGGTCTTGGAGGTGCCTAGGAGAGACCAAGCTATGAACCAAAGCTGGCTGCTACTAGTGCCGGGCCTGGCGCAACTTAACAAGAGGAACCAGGCACATGGAAACCAGGTGCTGCTTTTTTGGGAAATTTTAAGAAAGTCTGAAGCATGAGTAAAGGCAGGCCATTGGTATGGAAAAGCTACTGGGAACAGCTTAGATAGGCTCAGAAGTTGGATGGAGCGGGATCTCAGAGAATCACCAGGATGGGGGTAGAGAAGTGGGGGAGTGGGGAGGGAGAGGTGACTGACAGCTCTATGGGATAGGTTTCAGAAAATGTACCCACCTAATTGTTATCTGCCACATGTAGGTGGGATCAGCCCATTCTGCATTTCTACCCCTCCTATTAGTCTCAATATGGCTTATTCTTTAATTCCCTAGTTGTAGGACTTCCATTTAGTTAGATTTTAGTTAGTTCTGAATGATGGTTGTTCTGTATAATTTAGTTGTAATTTTGATGTGGTTGTAAAATGATGCTAGTACTGCATATCAATGCCACCATCTTGATTTGGAAGTCAGTGCTACTTTTTAAATTGTATACACATTAAGGATTGCCATGAAATTCATCCTTCTTGCAATCCAGGACTCCTTGGGGGATGTCAGATAGCCAGTTTTGGCCAGATCATGCAGGCCAGGCTGAGGGACCCCACTGGTGCATGAACCCATGCATCATGCCTCTAGTCATTATATAATGCCCTTTCTATCTCCGACAATTATACTTGTTCAGAAGTCTGCTTAGTTTGAAATTAATATAGCTACAGTTTTCCTTTGATTAATGTTGGCATGGTATATCTTTCTTCATCCCTTCACTTTTGACCTATCTGTGTTTTTGTATTTAAAGTGACTTGCTTATAAACAGCATATAGTTGGATGTTGTCTTTTTTCTCTGTCAAAGTCCATGTTTTAATCAGCATATTTAGACCATTCATACTTAAAGTGATTATGCATATTGTTGGACTAATATCTATAATTTTATAACTATTTTCTTTCGGTTTTGGCAACTGTTTTCTATTCATTGTATTTGTTTCTATTTGTTTTTCCCTTTTTCTTTTTTTAATATTTTATTGATTTTTTTACAGAGAGGAAGGGAAAGAGATAGAGAGCTAGAAATGTCGATGAGAGAGAAACATCGACCAGCTGCCTCTTGCACCCCCCACACCGGGAATGTGCCCACAACCAATGTACATGCCCCTGACCGGAATCAAATCTGGGAGCCTTCAGGGGTCTGAGCCAAACCGGTTTTGGCAACTGTTTTCTATTCATTGTATTTGTTTCTATTTGTTTTTCCCTTTTTCTTTTTTGTTTTTGTTTTAATTGAGCATTTCATGATTCCATCTTTTAGCATATCAATTATACTTCATTTAAAACATTTCATTGCTTTACCTAGGGTTTGCAATAAATATTTACTACTAGCTATCTCCATTTTATTTTTATTTATTTATTTATTTATTTATTTTAAACTGGCCAGGTTGGCCGCGAGAGCACCACACGCAGGTGGACTCCACACGACCGCACTGATCCAGGTGTAGGCAATCCTTTTAATATATTTTTTAAAAATATATTTTATTGATTTTTAACAGAGAGGAAGAGAGAGGGATAGAGAGTTAGAAACATCAGTGAGAGAGAATCATCAATCAGCTGCCTCTTGCACACCCCCTACTGGGGATGCGCCTGCAACCAAGGTACATGCCCTTGACTGGAATCTAACTTGGGACCTTTCAGTCTGCAGGCCGAAGCTCTATCCACTGAGCCAAACGGGTCCCGGCGCTATCTCCATTTTAAATAATAGTGTACTGCCTCATGGTTAGTGCATGCATCTTATAATAGGATGTAACAAGTTCTTCCCGCCTGTCCTTTATAACACTACTACCAGTCATTTCACTTATTCATATGCTGTAATAACAACATAGTAGTTGTCATTACTTTGAACAAGCAGTTACCTATTAGATCAATTTATAATAGGAAAAACTGATTATACATACATTAATTTCTTTCTAATATTCTTCCTTTTTTAATGTAGATATGAGTTTCTGATCCATATAGTTTTTCTTCTGCTTGTAGAACTTTAAAAAAAAATTTCTTTCTGGGTATTTCTTCAAGAAAGGAATTACCTCAGTGCTTGTTTGAGAAAATATTTATTTCTCTTTTACTTTGAAGGTTAATTTCAAAGACTAAACATTTTTAGATTGGTGTTTTTGTTGTTTTTTTTTCATCACTTCAGCTATTTCTTTTTACCTTCTTGCATGGCTTCTGATGAGAAATTTGATGTAAGTTTATCCTTGTTCTTCCATAGATAAAATTTTTCTCTCCTCATCCTTTTGGATTATTTTAATAAATTTCTTTGTCTTTGCCTTCTGCAGTTTGAATGTGAAAAGACTTGGTGTAGATTATTTGGCATCTATCCAGTTTGATATTTACTGAGGTTCCTGACTCTGTGGATTATTGTCTATTATTACTTTTGAAAAAATTATTTGGCAATTACTACTTGAACTATTTCTTTTGATTTTTCTCTTATCCCCTAGTATCCAACTTACACATCTTTTTGAGATTGTTTCATCATTTTAGTGTGTTCTGTTTTGTTTTGTTTTACCCCTTATATTTTTTTCTCTTTGTGGTTTAATTTGAGAAGTTTCCATTGGCTTATCTTTAACTCACTGATTCATTCCTAGGTCATGTCCAATCTGATGATGAGCCTGGAGACTGACTATTGACTTTGTATATGACAGTGAGAACCTTCGGTCAGTTTTCCCTCAGGACCTCACCAGGTATTCATGGTGAAGTGCTAGGAAAAATCCCCTGAGTTTCTGGCATGAAGATGAGAAAATAAAACCTTTGAAACTACCAGAGCATTCTTTTTTTCTGTTGTAGTACTTTTAATTCCTAGCATTTTCTTTTTTATTATTTCTTTGAGTTTCTATCTCTTTGCTTATTTCACTCTCTGTTCTTGCATGTTGTTTGCTTTATCCATTAAAGCCCTTAACATTTTAATTAGTCATAATTATTTTAAATTCTTGTTTGACATTTTGAAAACCTTTCATATCTGAGTCTTGTTTTGTCTTTTCAGACTTTTTCATGCCTTATAATTTTTTTGAAAGCAAGATGTGATGTATCAGGTAATAGGAACTAAAGTAAATAAGTGACTAATGTGAGATTTTTATGTTAATTTGGCTAGCAGACGGGTCACGGTTAATATTTGTTCCAACTGTCAGAGGCAGAGCCTTCAAAGTCTTTCAGTGTTCTTCTTGTCTCCCCTATTTTTTAAAAATTTTATTCTCTGGGAATTCTTTCTTAAATCTGGCCTTGCAGCCCTTTCAGCTATAATCCAGTTATTTACTGGAATCCTGTTGGTGTGGCAGCAAGGTGTTGGGAGAGAAAGCAGTCTATAATGTTATGATTAAATAACAGTGTTTTAGTGAAACTGTGTCCCAGGACCGTACATTTTAAAATGATTTCATAGCTGTTTTCCTTTTCCATGCATCATTTGGATGATACTGAAAGGCTAGAAATGTCTTAATTTTGGAAACTGCCCTTCCCCTAGATCAGATAAAGTGTTTCCCCTGGAGAGTAGGCCGTTGTTATGGAGAATGCTCTGGTAGTTTCAAAGGTTTTATTTTCTCATCTTCATGCCAGAAACTCAGGGGATTTTTCCTAGCACTTCACCATGAATACCTGGTGAGGTCCTGAGGGAAAACTAACCGAAGGTTCTCACTGTCATATACAAAGTCAATAGTCAGTCTCCAGCAATTCATCAAACTTACCATTTAAGTGTTTCTATTGGTTTATGAATCTGGTTACTTCTGGTTCAGGCAGCTGATCTTATATGTGATTCTCCAAATTTGTGTCCAATAGAAATTTGGGGTGGCAGTTTGCCCTGTGACCTGGATTTTCTGCTAGGTACATGACAAGTCATTGATTTTTAGTTTGTTCACTTTTTCTTTCCATGAGGATGAAAGTGATGATTTCCAAAGAATTTGCATTTTAAAATGTCCATATGTTTAGTTTATTTCTTTAAAAAATATTCTTTTTGTTTAAAAATTTGATCTTATTGTAATATGATCTTATAGCCAGAACATGTAACTGTTCATTTTCTCCATATTATTTATTTGGTTTAATTCAAGGCCAAATAATTGATATAAGTATATTTTTATAATTTGTAAAACATTTCGTGTGTGTGTGTGTGTGTGTGTGTGTGTGTGTAAATACTTTAAGAGTTAAGGATAGGATAGAAAGTAGTTTTTAATCACCATGAAAAATTTGTCTATTCATGATCTTAAATTTTACTTTGAAAATATAAATATTGTTATTTTTGCTTTTGATCTTGTTTGCTTTTGTCTAATGTAACTTGCCCATCTTTTTCCATTAAAATGTTTTTAATGTCACTGTTTCTGTTGAATCTTTTATATATAGTTAGATTCTATTTTGGCCATTTGTATTTTAAGATGATAATTTAATCTATTTTAAATGACATATATCTCCTTATATTTTTTTGCACTTTTTATGTCTTATGCCTCTTTGTTTTTTTGTTAAAAATAGTAGAGTATATTTTCTTCACTTTTTTTTTGTTTGTTAATCCTCACCTGAGGATATTTTTCTATTGATTTTTAGAGAAAGTGGAAGGGAGAAGAGAGACATGGATTAGTTGCCTCCCCCATGCACTCTGACGGGTCTAAGGATTGAGCCTGCAACTGAGGTACATATCCCTGACCAGAATCAAACATTGACGCTTCAGTCTGTCCCCTGAGACAAATCAACCAGGGCTTCTTTACTTTTATTTTTTGTAAGATTTCTAGTCTCATTTTTGGTGCTATTTGTTACCCTTAAGTTTTCTAATTAATTCTCAGATATATATTTCTCTAATTGATAGCATCAAATGTGAAACCATAGCATGTGAGTTTACTATAGTTTGAAATAAGTTATTTAACTGAGTTTTTATTTACTGGAATACACATTTGCCCTTTAGCAAAGCAAACACACATCAGTGGTAAGGTTTGGTAAACAATAAAGGATTATCAGGTTAGGGGAATTGCCTTCAGTTGTCCAGCCAGCAGCAGATAATAATATGTAGATTTTCAGCCCTTCTGAATATCAAAGTCCCAAGGTCCACCAGCCTTCTGAAGGACTTCTTGCATAATTATGACCTGCTGGTCTTAGCCTCCAGCACATTACAATATCATATTAATTCCTCTGAATTAAAAAAAAATTCATTGTCTTCTCTAGAGGGTTCGGGTGAAAGTCTTTTTATAGTAGCTTTGATTGGCACAGGGTGAACTCTTTCACTTTTCTATGTACAAGTCTCTCTTAAGCTCTTTGTTGTCTTCTATTGCACCCTTGATTATTCTTTAAATAAGTAAATTCCATTTATTCTGGTCTCACCACAAGAGCACTATTTTACTTGTGTTGGCTCTCCATTAACTATCTTTCAAGTCTTAGATCTTCTAGCCCACTACAAGTCTTCTAGAAACGCAATGTCTAGGGAGGTAAGATATCAACCAAAGGACTTGCATGCATGCATATAAGCATAACCAATGGACATAGACATTAAGGGGGGTGAGGGCATGTGCTGGGGGGAGGGGAAGGGGATAGAAGTGGCTAGGGAGAGGTCAATGGGGGAAAAAGGAGACATATGTAACATTTTCAATAATAAATAATTTAAATTTATAAATAAAAAAGTAACCCAATGGATATTTTTACATCGTGTCTTTGTTTCTCAGGGACCAGAACCCAGAAGACCAGAATCCAGAGGAGCAGTTTTTCTATGAGTTCATTTTTAAGCTCTTCAAGGAAAATAAGGTGGAGATTGCAAAAGCAATAACGAAGCCATTTCCTTTTCTTATGAGCCTCCGAGACCGTGGTTTTATCCCTGAATCAAAGTATAATGTAAGTGAAGGGGCTTTCCTCCTGATAAACAGGCCCTTACTATATTACTACAAAATTTGGGATGCGAAGGGCAGGCTAAGGGGCTCCCTGTGAGTGTGGACCTTCATCATCTTATACTTTAGGAGGTGACAGGAGAAGCGGCACCACAGAAAGCATTCCCTTTTCTGTAGTAAGTGTTGGTGGAGGGGCATGGGATGGAGATGTGGCAGGATTGTAAATGGAAATGCTCCGTAGGTACAGAGAATCTCAGTTATATTGAAGACAAGCCTTCTGTTTGTGAATTTTCTTTGCCCTTTGGCCAGATCAGAGTCATGGTTTCCTGGAAACTTTAGCCTAATAGAGGGAAGTAGGGTAATGTCTAGACACCAAAATAGCCACTCATTACCAGTCAGGCCAACTTTTGAAGCATTCTGGCCAGACTCTTAGAGTCACCTCTCCCCCCATTATTCAATTTTGAAACCATTTTTATTCCTCAAAATAGCTCTCTCAAGCATACATCAATGTTAGAGAGTCAGGTTCACAGAATAAGTGTATTTTTCAGGTGGGGAGTATTTAAGGAGTTATCTAAAAATATGTGACATTCTAATATTTTTCTAATGGAACAAATATTTTATTTATAATCTGAATATTCTCTAACCTATTATATAATTGCATATCTATAAAATTGTCCATTTAATATTTTTAAGCATTTTCAAGAAGCTTGTATAAATCTGGTCCCCATGGAGAGAGTGGCATATAATGTCCTCAATGAACTGGAGAAGAAATTTGACCTGACAGTTCTGAATGCCTTATTCAGCACAGTTAACCTGAAGACTTATACTGATTTACCTGAGATTTACAGAAGCTTCCAAAATGGTAATTATAACTTGCAATGAAAATTGGGGATTCAAGTCCATTTCATTCACTGATTCATGTATTCATCTATTCTTCATCAATATCTGACAATTGTCCTGGTTGGACAGTTCAATTGGTTAGAACATTGTGTCGTCCCAATACCTGAAAGTTATGAGTTCCATCCCTGGTTAGAGCACCTACAAAAATCAACCAATGAATGCAATAAGTGGAACAAGTTGATCTCTCTCTCTCTCTCTCTCTCTCTCTCTCTCTCTCTCTCTCTCTCTCTCTCAATATATATATTTGACAATTATTTTGAGTAACTATTATTTGATAAGCATGAGATAATACAGTGTTGAAGAAAACACATATCTGTGTTCTCATGGAGCTCACACATAGTGGAGTGACAGAGGTTAACCAAGAAATCCCATAAATGATTCCTAAGTCATGGCTTGAATTTGGTGCTAAAAACCATAGTATTTAAGTTTCTACTTTATGGGCAGAAAATATGAATTATGCTCCCTTATAAGAAAGAAGAAAACTCTCTTTGATATTTGCAAAAATGTTAAAAAAATGAAAAGGTTTTTTTTTCTTTGTATTAGAAAAGTTGTAATTAAATTCAGACCTTTACTAATTTACTTCTCCAAATAAAGAGTGGGAAAGTCACAAGAGTCCATCAGCAGACACCCATACATAGGGAGGGGCAGCATGTGAAAGCTACAAAATGTAAAAGAAACTTAAAGTATTCTCTGGCTAAGGAAACAGAGCATGGGAAAGAGTGCTAGGAAGCTAATTCTGAAAAGGAAAGTTGGAAAGAATTTTTGAGGGTCCAACACTCTGTGGCAAGGAAAGAAATAAAGAGGTAATAAAAAATTTAAACAGAGAAAAAGTAAAAGAAGTCATGTAATGAATGGATGTATTGATTTGTGAAAGCCATATATTGCTAATAAGATCCACCTCATTTTCACACTACGATATATCTCAGTCAGAGAAAGGATTAAGGAAATCAAATACTTTGTCACAAATTTTAAGCATGTTCTTGGACCATGGGTATAAATAGAATGGCAATTTCCTTTACTCTCTACATCTTAGGGTCTGTAATTCTTTCCATGGATTGTGGATTATACCTGCCTTGGCCCTAGTACCCACATCACACATATAAGTTTCTGGGGTTTCCTAGCAGGGATATGGCTGCGCTGCTCAATGCCTGGCCCAGTACAGCTGCTCACTTGCCCCCAGAGGAGGTTGCTGCTGGTACCTCCCAGGCCTGGATGTATATGGGTGCTGTGGGTCTTCAGCCCAAAGCCCAAGCTTTTAGCTGGGTGGCATGCAGGTGTAGAGAAGACATTTATATGACATGTCCTCCTCCAGCATTTATATGACATGTCCTCCTCCAGACTTTGCTTGCACATGAAGTCAACATGCCCTTGGTGTGGCAAATACATCTGTTATTCTGAATGGAACTTTCCACCTTCATCCCCTCACTAGTGCCCTGATCCCTCAGTGGGATTTTTACCCAGAAAGTCTGATCCAGTTACCTCTCCTTCTAGACCAGCACCTTTCTGTATTTCTTATATGTTTTTCTTAAGAGTCTTGCTTTTTAAAAAATCTGTTTTATGAGTTACCTCAGTGTGCATTTTTAAAGTGCAGTGCCCTGGACCGGTTTCTTGAATTTCTTGTTACCACTTCCTGGGTCACTGGTACAGCTGTGCTATATTCATTTTCAGTTTGTGCCTTTCAGAAAATATTCATTCCTGCCCTGACCAGGTGGCTCTATTTGTTGGAGTGTTGTCCCATACAACAAAAAGTTTGTGGATTCAAGACCAGTTGGACACATAAGGAAGGCAACCTATCTATGTTTCTCTCTCACATCAATGTTTGATGTTCTCTCTCTCTCTCTCTCTCTCTCTCTCTCTCTCTCTCTCTCTCTCTCTCTCTCTCTCCAAATTAATAAAAAGATAACCTCAGATGAAAATTAATAATAATAATTAAAATAAAATATTATTCTTGTTTGTGCCTTAGAGAAAGTACCTTTCCTTTGTTCCTGGATCCTTCCCACCCATTCCATCTTGGAGGAAGTTCTAGTTTCTTCTTAGTTTTATATTTGTAACCAGATAATCTTCCCTGACCCAAGATATACTTCCTTCTTCCCTTCCTTCCCTCTTTTCTTTTAAATTCTCCATTCTTAAAGATGTAGGTTTTTTTTGTTTGTTTGTTTGTTTTTTGTGTTTTTGTGTGTGTGTGTGTGTGTGTGTGTGTGTGTGTATGCTTTTTTAAAGTAGGTCTATTTCACTATAAGCATAACTTTTTTCTTGAGGAAATCCCTGTGCTTCTGCACTATTCCTAATATATGTAGAATTTACAAAACACATTATTAATTTTAAATTAGCTTTCACCATTCTATGATTATTCTGAAGGGGTTTAACGCTGATTTACACTTGTCCACTGTCCATTTTTAAACCTTGAGAGGTGTATCTCTGTGTGGAATGGCTATAGGATTACAGGAACACCATCAAGTCACAGGTTATGTGAGACCCACAAAAGCCCAGGGTTCCCTGAGGGCTGGAAAGTTCCCTCTGAATTATGGAGTCCTGAATGTACCTGGATATGCAACTGTGAGATGCATCCCCTGGCCATTGCCAGAAACCTATAATTGCCTTTCCCTCCTCTTCTCAGAGCTTCATGATCAATTCTATTACCAAGCTATTGATGATGAAGAAACAACAGAGATGCTCAACTGCCAACCAAACTGTGAACAAGGTAATGATGACTTGATAGAAACATGTTTTTTCATCTACCAAAAGTAAAGGAGATCACAGATCAGGAGACTGCATTCCTGAGGGGAGAGTATACCCTGGGGAAGGAATGCAGAAGGAGATGGGAAGCCAGAGCAGTGGTGTGTTGTATAGATTCACAATTAACCAACCAGATGTGGAATCCAAGAATATTTTCAGACAGAACTAACAACTAAGAAGTTGGAACATACACTCAAAAGAGATCTTACTGTGACCAAAAGCAGAATTAAAGGAAGAATTGACTGCAGTATTTGTGACCTTTGTAACAAGTTCAAAGAGGAAGGCTTTGGTATGTCAAAAGGAGGAACAGTTGTAAATATGCCTAATAATCTAGGAAAATCGAGGAAGTGAGTGAGTAGTAATAGTGCATAGAAGAGAATGTAGAAGGAATGGTGCTGTGTAGAAGAGAGGAGAGGAAAAAGAAAAGGAGTATAAAGGGGAGAACAGAATAAAGGGCAGTGATAATTTTTAACAATGATGGTAGTAACAACACTTAACTTCTATAGGTATAAGGTCAGCACTTTATACAGAGAGGAAGGGAATTGGATAGAGAGTCAGAAACATTGATGACAGAGAAACATCGATCAGCTGCCTTCTGCACACCCCCTACTGGGGACGTGCCCACAACCAAGGTACATGCTCTCGACCGGAATCAAACCCGGGACCCTTCAGTCCACAGGCCAAGGCTCTATCCACCGAGCCAAACCAGTTTCGGCTGTTATTCCCATTTTTCTGAAGAAGTGAAATGTGAGGGAGGATGCTTAGTGATGTGTGCAGGTAACATAAATAGGAATTGTGCTATCTAGGACTCAAACCTTCCTCTCCACACTGGTTGAGGGCAAAGATTCTGAGGCCCCACTGCCAGGCTTAAATCTTGGCTGTACCATTTACTTACTTGGGAAAGTTACTTAATTTCTATGTTTGAATAGCCTTGCCTGTAAATTTGTATCTGTGCCTAAAATAATGTTGTAAGGATTAAATGACTTAATTTATGCAAAGCACTTAGTCATTTTTGGCACAAAGTAGCCCCTTAATTCATGGCACAAAGTAATTGCCCTGTGTTTACTGCTGTTATTATTATGTATACCTGACTGCAACAACTATACATTTAGTCAATGCTCTATACTTTGAAATTTCTTTTCTCAGACACCCTGAGAAAAAATTATTTTTCAGACTAGAGTAGCAGTGAGTGAAATAGCTTTAAAGCCCAAGAAAAGGTCATTCTTAGGCCAAATGGTCTACAATAAATTTATTTATTTGTTAAATGTTGATATTTTCCCTTGGAAATAGTCAATGTAAAAAAAACCATGAGAATATACACTGAATGACCAGAATATTATGATCTCTGAACACATAATAACCTGGCCACTCAGTGTATATCCTATATAATAAAAAAGTAATATGCAAATTGTTAATCTGGCCACTCAGTGTAGTCAGCCTGCCATTTAATATGTATTCTTTAATTTGGATGGATACCTCAGATATACATTTTTGACTGTATTAATATCCTATATAATAAAAGGTAATATGCAAATAGATGAACAGCAGAACAACCAAACAACCAATCAAAGCATAATATGCTAATGATATGCTAAGGCTGCTCAACCTCTCACTATGACATGCACTGACCACCAGGAGGCAGACAGTTGACCCATTAAGCAGTTACTATGATATGCACTGACCACAAGGGGGTTGAGGCTCCAACCTGTAAGTTAGCTTGCTGCTGGATTCTGGCTGATTGGGTCTGAAAGAGATGGTCCAGACACGCCCTGGAGCCCCCCCCCCCCCCCCCCCGCGGTTCCTCCTTGACCTGATCGTGCACCAATGGGGTCCCTCAGCCTAACCTATACCCTCTCATAATGTGGGACCCCTCAGGGGATGTCAGAGAGCCAGTTTCAGCCCTATCCCACAGGTCACTCCCCTTGGGAGGGTGCCAGACACAGGTTCATGGCTGGCGAGCAATGCTGCTGCAGCTCGAACCTCTCCTGATTGGGACTGATTGGGCACAAGCCTGCGGCAGGCACAGTGAGACTGGGATGAGCGGGAGCTGCAGGTTGTGTTGGACTGTGGGTTTCGGTCCAGTCCCTGCAGGCCACCCAGAAGGACCCCACCCATGCACAAATTCGTGCAGTGGGCCTCTAGTATTTGTATAAAATTTGGATCTATGTTAATAACCATACTTATTATTTTGAATACAGACAAATTGCTAAGAGTATAAAGTGTACAATAAAGAGTAGAAAATATATCAAAAGTATATTTTAGAGAGCTGTCTACTGCAAGGGTAGGGGAAAGGAGAATGGAGTGGTGGAGGGAATAATAGTAGATATTAGTAAAGAGTAAAAGAGGTTTATCATGAAAGAGAAAACAAATTCTTCCATACTCCTAATGTGATCCAGGTCAAGCCCTACCTGGAGCTAGAATCTCAGAGTATCTCAGTGATGGACAGCAAATGAGTATAAAGCAAGAAGATTCATCTCATGACCTAAGTAGATCAATACAAACACAGGAAATGACAAATGAATCCTCCCAAGGATCTCAACAAATAGGTAAGGTTGACTCAGTCAACATACACCTGGATTACTGTGAATGAATCTAAGCACATATGGGGCGAGAGGAAGGGCTGTGTCATGTGGTTATAATTAAAAAAGGAGTTTTCAAGGAGCCTAATATAGGACAGAAGAGTAGGTCAGTGTTTAATGTAAAGAGCCATATTTACCAAAAAAGGATCTTTCACATCCCCATGCACAAGTTTCTAATCCAGATCTGAGTTATGGTTCTCAGAACAATAGCCACTTGCTCATCTCCTCTTTCTCATCTTGCTCCCATGAAATAAGTTCTTTGCATTTTAACTAGATAGAACATTTGAAAATAAACATTAGATTGTATTATATTTGTACTTACCTTATTAATAGATTAGGAGTATTTCTTTCAGTGGCATCCAGAGTCATCCACAAGGAGCCATTGCTTATTTCCCCAGCTTCATTACTTGCCTCCTACACTATTATATAGCAAAAACCTTCTTTCCAAATCATTTTAATTGTTAAAATTTTCTTTCTTTTCTGAGCCTTCTCATATATCTTTTTAGAACATTTTTTTTGTTCCACTACCATCCAATTATCCTTTCTAGTCTGGTTAAAACTTATTTAAAACAGACTTTCTCAGAGAGGACTATATATATATATGAAAAATCAATTATATATATATATATTGATTTTTCACATAGAGAAAGGGAGAGTGATAGAGAGCTAGAAACATCGATGAGAGAGACACATCGACCAGCTGCCTCCTGCACAACCTCTATTGAGGATATGCCCACAACCAATGTATATGCCCTTGACTGGAATCGAACCTGGGACCCTTCAGTCCACAGACCGATGCTCTCTCTATCCACTGAGCCAAACTGGTTTCGGCTATTTTATTTTTTTAGAGAGAGAGAAAGCTAGAAGAAAAATTGCAAGACCAAGGGTAGGAGAGAAAGAGCAGTATCACAGAAAGCAAGAGACAAAAGGAGCAGAGGAGAGGAGAGAAACACATCAAGAGTAAGAAAAGCTCTAAGAAACACCAGCAGAAAGAAACAGGCAGACCTTGATAAAAAGTACAGAATGAAATAGGAAGCGAAAATAAAGAGACAGAGAAAATTTCCCCATGATGATGAGTGAATCATTCTTAGTCTGTAGGAAAACTACTGAAGCAAAGTTAACCGTTAGGTCAGGTCGTTTTGCAGAATGGGGCATTCCAGATTATCAACCTTCTTGGTTTTCTCATTATTTCCTTGTGGTGATTTCTTCTCGGTCATAAATTGAGATGCCAGTGGGATTTCAATCCTTTCTGAAGAGAATAGCAAGACCTGTTGTATAACCTGTGATGGAGAAGAGCCCCAGAAAACTTTGAGCTCCCCACAGAGACATGAACCAGGTAAGAAAGGGGAAATTGGCAGCTCTGGGCTGCAGGTGGCTAAATTTAGAACTGGCATTTCCTGCTGCAACAAATTGTGAACACACTTCACTGTCAAAAATTTGGTGTGCCCTAAAACTTCATGAGTCATATTAATGTTTCTAAATGTATATTCTAGTGCAAATATGTAAAGAAAGAAGGTGCTTTTTAAATCTATTAATACTAAAGACTTGAATTTATGCCTACCTACCCTTTCTCTTCCCTACAAAATAAAAACTAAATATTATTCTCTAAAACTAAATATTTATGTTACTAGAGGTCCAGTGCATGAATTCATACACCAGTGGGGTCCCTCAGCTTGGCCTGTGGGATCTGGCTGAAAACAGCTCTCTGAAAAACCCCCAAGGGGTCCTGGATTGTGAGAGGGCACAGGCCAGCCCAATGGACCCCAGTGGTGCATGATCAGGGATGGGGAGGGACACAAAGTTGGCCAGCAGGGGAAGGACCGCAGGAGGGCTCAGGGTGTATATGGCCCATCTCCCTCAGTCCAGATCAGCTGAATCCCAGCTGCAAGCTATTCTACCTGTTGGAGCATCTGCCCCCTGGTGGTCAGTGCACATCATAGTGAGCGGTTGAGTGGCCTTAGCATATAATTATCATATTATGCTTTGATTGGTTGAATGGATGACCGGATAAGCTTTTATATATAGGATTATTTTGTGCCTAACTTTGGAAAACCCTCAAAGGAAACATGGTCCTTCAAACAACTGCCCTCAAATCTAAATTATAATTTTTGTCAATAGTTTTGCATGATACTATTTAATTTTTCAAAGAATTTTGGCAAACAAGGTATCATTTTATCTGAAACATAGAAGAGTCTTTTACTGTTGCAAATTAGTCAAGCAAGTTGGTGGACCAGAATCCTTGATGACTCAGTGTGGTTATAGTCATGTGGGGCTGACAAAAGGGTTAGACAACCAGGGTCACCTGTGCTGAGTTCATTCAGGAGAACTCATAAAGTCTGCAGGTACCAGGGGAGTGAAACAGGGCCCGATGCAAGGAGACTGTCATTCAACAAGTATATTTTGTTGGCCAGAGCAGAGAAAAGAAGAAAGAGATGGTAGGAAGGGACTTGCCATGAGGGATGCAAGAGATCTGGAGAGAGCTAAAAAGAAAAAGGGAGACATAAGCTGGAAAAGTGGTAAAGAGCAATAAAGAAGTAAAGGACTAAAAGGAAAGCGAGAAAGTCAAGGAGATGAAAAATCGTTCATGGCACAGAAACAAAGTATGTGGTGACAGAAATGAGGTGACTGAGGAAAAACACGAAGGAAAAGAGTAACATAAGGCTATAGGAGCAACTGTATCTTTTGCCCAAGGAGAAGCTCACTGAGCACTGAACACCAGATTCAGTTGAGTTCTCTGAGTCTGTGCCCAGGTCACCATGACTGGTTGGTCATTTCTGTGTTTCTCTTCAGTTTCCTGTGAGCATGAAGCTCTCCAAAGGACTAGTGGAGGTGATTCTGAAGTGATGCCAAAACTGCTTCCAGTTCACGGGAGAGGTAATCATGTTTTAAATGACTAAATACCTCATTATATTTGTTTGACTTGCTGTAGGCAAGGGAAGCTTCCGTTACCTCCCTCAAACATAAGCTCACACTTTTCCTCTTTTTCTCTGGTTGCTCTCCCTGGGCATGTGGAGGCAAGGAGGAAAGGAGGAGTAGGCACCTAATGGACAATTGAAGAGCACAAAACAATAAAAATGTAGATTTGTGGAATCCAATGGAGTTGTCTAATTAAGCTGAATTTGATCTAAATGTATATGAAATCTAAATATTACCAGTTTAGTTTGGGAAGAAAGATAATTTTAAACTCATTCTTTAGGTAGGGATTGAATGGGAATAATGAACTATTGATACTACATATAGGAAAGACAAAGAGAAAGTGAGTTAAAAAATAAATGAAAATACAATGGAGCAAAAAGCTGAAGAATATCATGGAGAAAGAAGACAGAATTGCAGAGATGGTAGAAGTCAGGGATAAAAAGCCATAGTCAAAGGGATCCACAAATAGCCTTGTGGTGCAGATGCAGCAATATATAGAAATAGGGTCAGAGGGATAAAAAAGAGGAGAAAGGGAGAAGGGCCTAACAAAGTGTGCAGGGGTGCAGAGCAAAGCTGGTTTGGTGCAACATACTTTTATCCTCAAGGAGCAGTTCTCCCACACTCAGATCATCAGAGCTCCGATGCACTCTGGACATGACCACATTAAGGTAGAGTTCAGCTAACTCTCAATTGCTCATCATGGTCCTGTTTCTCTCTTCAGTGCCCTTGGAACTTATTGATCTACAAATGAATGAAGGAGGAGAAATAGAAGCAATGCCCAAGCTACTGCCTTATGATGGAGATGGTAATTAGTATTTAAATGCTCTATTTTGTAATTAAAGCTTGACTTTCTTGTCAGTATAGAGCAGTGATTCCCAATGTGGGGCACATGCCCCACTGGGGGGAAATTTGATAGTGAGTTATTAACAGTGAATTTTTTGCATTTCTTGTGGAACTCAGGGCCTCATATACCATATATAAATATATATTGTGACATACTTATGCATTTCAGTTCTCTATGTTTTGAAACTTTATTTGCTATTTTTTCTTATCACTTCATGTCATTTTTAAAGACAATTTCTTAGTGAATTCTTTCTCAGTACTTCAACTTTCCTTTTATTCTTTTATTTTTCTCTTTCATGGATACCATGTTTTTTGGAGCTTGTTTAGAGCAAGTTAATGGCCTTTTAGGTTTCCTCCATGTGAATAGGAGTTCACTTTTTGAATAATAAGAATTATATGTCACAGGGAGGCGGGGCATCAGGATTTTACAGATGCTTAGGTAGGGCATGGCCAAAAGAAAAAAAAAAAAAAAAGGTTGGGAACCACTGGTATAGAGAAAGACCAATTATTTCTTCTTCTTTCCTGCCTCTCCTGCTATCATTTCAACACTTTGGGTAAAACGCCAGGAATTTTGATTTTTTGACTACTCTTTCTCATCTAAGTCTTTGCACATGTGTAGCTCTATGCCTGGAACTGGTATTTGTTTGTATATTTGTTTTGCCCCATTCTGCTTTCCATTCTGCTCATCAATTTGGTAAATTTATGTGGAAATTACATACTATCTCAAAGATGCCTTTTCTGACTGATAGTTCTGAAAAGCTGCAGAATCAGACAGGAAAAGACATAACACATGGCTTAGGGAAGCAGGAGGGAAAAGAGGAAGGTGGAAACAGACATGATTAAAGAAACAAATTGGGACAAAGAGAAGTGACAAGAGAAAGAATCGAAGGCAGAAATAGAAGAACTAGAGACAAGTGGAAAGGGTGAAAATGAGAAAGAGCGGGGGTGGAAGACAAGGATGCAAGGTTTCTGACAGTTTCCATCAGATTATTAGATTGCGCAAGGCCTTTAACCTTTACAAAGCCTAAGACACAGACATGCAAACTACTGTAACTCTATTTTATGGACAAGGAAATAAAGCACAGAAAACCATGGAGGTCAGTTTTTAAGGTCAAAGTAGAAAAAGAGGAGTGGCACAAGAGTTCCCAGTTTAGGGAAGCCTGCAGGTGGTCAGGGCGGGTTCACGGGGTCAGAAGAGAACCAAGAAGTCAAGGAATTCTGAATGTTCCCATGTAGTACATCCAGTTTCTAATGTAAGAACCTAATTAAGAAAAAAAATGTTGATGGGTAGGAAAGGGAAACCACTGAGAGAGCATAGGAATGCTCCAACCACCTGGGCTAAGAGAGATCTGGAATCAGACAGACAGAAAACATAATTGGAGAAATGACATGCTATCCCTGAAAAAACAAAAGCCAAAAACTAGACCTAAAAAAGGAGAGATGGGGAGAAAAAACTGACTATCAAAACAATGCACAGTGAGGAAACAGAAAAGCATGGATACAGATCTGTAGGAACGACACAGAATTAGAGAGAAGGAGAAGGAGGTGTCATATGATGGCAAAAAAGCAGAAGAAGATGAAATAGCTCCCAGGACCTGTGTTTGGGGCAGACTCACCACTTCCTCATCATGGTGGGCCCAAACACCCTGAGGTCAGTTTCTGATCGTCCTCCAGGGTCCATCATGTTCTTGTTTCTCTGCAGTGACCTGTGATCTCAAAGCTTCAGAAATGACTAATGAAGGAGAAGTACAGAAGGTGCTCAGCTTACAGCCTGCTGATGGAGAAGGTAATTATGATTTAAATTCTCAGCTTCCTCAATGTATCTTTGTTTTCTGGTCAGCAAAGGAAAAATCTCTCCCCTTTTCCCGAACCTCTCATCTTCTTCCTCATATTCACATTCATACGGATGGGATTGCTTAGCTTTTTCCAAACTGTGATAGAAACAAAGAATAAAGGGGAGTTCAGCTACTGGGAGGAGTGGGGATCCCTTCATGGAGAATGAAGAAAGACAGAATATGCCAAAGGCAGGCTGGGGCCTTTGCCTGGACAATTTTATTAAATGCATGCAAAATACAAATATCAGGCAAGGAGATTATTTTCAGCCTACTTCTGGAAATAACCAGAAACACGGAAATAAGTTTTGTGAATGATTGAGGAGGCTTGCAATTTAGAAAGGCTCTTTAGACTGATAAAATAGACCTGATTAGGGAAGGTTCCCTGGCACCGTGGTCCATGTGAAATGGAAGAATTTTTGTCATTTGGGGAGAAGGACCTGTGAGAATGAGGAAAATATATAAAATAATGGAAATTTTTACAGGCATCCAGAAGGTGAAGACTCAGACATAGAAAAGAAGAAAGTGGCAAAGTAGAAAGGGTATGATTTCAATGAAGAAATGAGATACAGAGATAAAAACTAGAAAAATTACATAGAGAGGCTAATAAGTATCCAAAATAATAATAAAGTAATGTGGAAGGGAACACAAAGGGAACTATGTGAGAGAAAGAGTTCTATCAAAATAGTTTTAGAATCAACAAGGAGTGAAAACTGCTGTATAAGGAGGAAAGGAGAGGAGTTGGGATCCTGTAAGGCTCAAATACAAGTCACTAGACAGAAGCATTTGCCAAGAAAAGTGGGCATCTCAGTAGTGAGTTTTCAGATTAAGGCCTCCCTAGGTAGAGTAGTGCCCATAACATACTCAGAATAATGCTCTTCTCCCTGGCACCCTCAGCAACTCTCCAGTAACAGAATGAGTCTGAAGAGCATGTCTGCTAGGCAGACCTGTCTCCCAAGGTCATCAATCTACGAACTGATGGCATTTATCCCAAGACCTTGTCCATTTGCATGTCTTTTAGGAACTGACACTTCCAAGATTGAAACCAACATTTTCTTTTGTGAGACAGAAACTTCAGGGTTGGCTTCTCCTCTTCCTTACCTGGTTCACATTTGGGTGTGGAGTACCCCATTTTTCTTGCTCCCAGCCCACCCATTTTCTTCACTTTAGCATGATTGCTATTTGCAAGATGTAAGTCAGATCATATTATTTCCCCACATAAATCTGGTGACCTTTGCTGCCCTTGGATAAATCAGTTATCCTTCTTCCTGGGGATTTCTTTGCCTTCCATTCATCATTGGGCTCCAACTTATGACTTCTGCCTCATCTCTAATGAAAGTATAAATATTTTCAGTCATTGCAATGCTCCGATCTTTCTTTTATACGTGGGCCTTTGAACAGCTCTTCCTTCTGTTTGGTGTGCCTTGGCTTATTCTGTTTCCTATCCCATTCACTGACCAGATTATGTTATACTATTTTAATGATGCCTTTGAAAAGGATAAGTGAGATGAGAAAAGTCAATAAAGAACAGTGTCAGGAGCTCAGGAGAAAAAGAGATAGGAGCAAGGGAAACAGAAACACATCATAAACAACTAAAAGCATCTAGGGACACTGGCAGCAGGAAACAGGGCAGAGACAGAAACAATGTGCAGTGGCAATGGGAAAGAAGTAGAGAGAGGATTAGGTGTACTGAAGGGAGGAAGATGATGGATGGTTCTCAGCCCCTGGGGATAGTGATAGAGGAGGGCCAATCTTCAGAACAGGTGAATGCAAAGGGCAGACCAGGATGGTCTGGGACATGGACAGTACCAATTAGGGGATTCTTGGCCTTCCCACATCTTCACTATGATTTTTATTGCCTTGATTCCCCTGGTGGTATATGTAGACCTCTGAGGAAGTTCAATTATTTCTGCAGAGGACACCAATGCCTCTTGGGAGCCCTGTGATGGAGAAGAGCTCGAGGAAGACTTGCACTCCCCACCCAGATATGAACCAGGTAAGAAAGGGGGCATTGCCAGCCCTTGGCTGCAGGATGTCAGGAGGCTGATTCCAGAGCTGAACAGCAGGACCCTTAGTGTTAGAATAGGTGTGCTACCTATTCATTTTGTGATAGATAAATACCAAGGAAGGATAGCATTATTCACATTCTTTATTCTTAATACTAAAGACTCAATACTATTATTTTAACCCTGCCCACCTTTATTTTCTATATAAAGTATAAAGACTTAATGTTTATTTAGTGCTTAATAATAATATTATTAAGCTGCTGTAACCCTGGGTAGGCTTCAAAAGAAACACGGTTCTGCTTGTTGAAAAACAACAATGAGTCTCAAGATCAAATTACAGTTTTTCTACCACATATACTTTGTAAGAATATTAGATTACATAGCACTTCTTTCTTTCAAAGTACTCGGGCAAATGTGACTTCCTCACAAAACTTTAGGACTTAGCTAGGGAAATTGTTACTGTCCCTCCTTAAAGATAAGGACATGGAATACTTGTTTCCCCCAAGGAAGAGCAGAGACCCATGTTCCAAGTATTTCATTACAAGTGATGGCTGTGTGAGGCTAGTGGGGGTTAATGTGGAGATACAATCACATTCCAAAAGGGTACTTGCAGGCTCCCAGGGAAAGAACAAGGCTTGATTCAGAGACACTTCTACTTCACAAATAAAGCATGTTCATTAGGAGGGGAGAAATCCAGACAGTGAGAGGGACCAGATCCTGGTGTAGGGATTGGAGAGACCTGGGAGAATAGAGCTAGAGAAAATAAACCGAAAAGAAGAGATCAAGATCATCATTGAGGAAAAAAGAAGATGGAAAAGAACAAAATAGAAGAAGTCAGTGGGAGCAGAGCCCACAAAATCAAAGATGCACAAATATACCCCTGTGCAGAAGAGTAATATCTGGAGCCAGGTCTATAGGTAACTGAAAAGCAGAGAGCAGGAAGGTGAGATGAATGAGAGGGAAACAGAGGCAGACCAGGGCTTGGTGGATCTCAGGTGAGGTCCTAGGAGCAGCTGTCTCCATTCCCCACTGGTTGTGTACTGAGACCTCTGAGGAAGTCCAATTCTTTCTGCAGAGGACAGCAATGCCTCTTTGGAGCCTTGTGAGGGAGAAAAGCTGGAGAAATACTTGAGCTCCCCACCAAGATGTGAACCAGGTAAGGAAGGGGAGATTGTTTGCCATTGAAACTCAAAGTCATTGTTTGTAAAGTTTTGTAATTTATTAAGATACTAGAGGCCTGGTGCATGAAAATTCATGCCCTCAGGGGGTGGGGAAGTCCCTTAGCCCTGCCTATGCTCTCTCACAGTCCGGGACCCGTCAGAGGATGTCTACCTGCCAGCTTAGGCCCACTCCTTGGGGGTGGGGCCTAAGCTGGCAGTCAGACATTTCTCTGGCAGCGTGTGGAGCCTTTGGGAGATGTCTGACTATGGCATAGGCCTGCTCCCCGTAGGGAGGGAGCCTAAGCTGCAGTTGGACATCTTTAGCACTGCCCGGCTTGTGGCTGAGCTGAGCTCCCCTTTTGGAAGCGCACTGACCACCAGAGGGCAGCTCCTGCATTGAGAGGGTCTGCCCCCTGGTGGTCAGTGCGTGTCATAGTGACCAGTTATTCCTGTTCTGTCATTAGGATCAATTTGCATATTAATCTTTTATTATAAAGGATGTGCTACAGTTAGAATCACAGTGAGAGTACAAAAAGGAAGTGGAATTCTTCCAGTGGGAAATAGTAGCTTTGGCAAAGGCAAGCTCATGACAAACAACAAAGAGGCCACAACATTCAGTCATAAGTGTGAATAGTGTCCTGCATGTGAATGGAGTTCTGAGCTCATCTACCAAGCAGAGATTTAAAAAGAGACATATGGTCAATTATATGATAATAATTGATCTCAGATTATGTTTAAACAAAATTATTTTCCTTACACTGTGATAGGATGTCAAGTGCCTTCATGAAAAGTTTGGTGAGAGACTCAAGACAAAATGACCAAATCTCTTTGTACAAATTGGCTGTCTAATGGACCTATACCGATCAATTAGTCTCTTGGACTGGCTTGGATAAGGGACTTTTCAGATCTATGCCTCCTTCTATTTGCTTTGGATCGCTTTCTTCTAACATTCAAAAGCACAGGAAAATAAAGAACAAATACATGTGAAATAAGACTTTTTACAATAGACAAGAGAGTGCGAGTAAATGAAGAAGTAAAATAATAAGCACATTACTGAAATATTTGTTAAATGGTACACCTCCAAAGCAAATGCCCAACTAACTACTTTGCATCTAATTACATACACATTATTAAATAATAAGATAAATTCAGGAATAAGAGCTCATGAAACTTCTCAGAGCTCAAGTAGTTGCTGATACTGAAGATTTACACTTATTCATTCAATGGCGACACACTACTTTTCTAAGCAAAAGTCTTTAAGGGGATCTTGGTGGGATCTCCATTGTGAAGGGATCATCTATATACAATATCTGAAGCTAAAAGAGAGACTTATTTCTTGCTTAACAAGGCACACAGTAGAAGGAGGCAGTGTACTTATTGGACACTGTTTATAAAAATTGGAAACTTTTGAATTTATGTGGAGTTTTGGGAAGCATGTATTTCAGGGACTATAGACTTTCAGAAATAGGAGTGATTGTAAACAGACTAGCATTTAGCTATAGATTCAGGCTTTCCAGAGTGTTATTGTTGATGACTTGCTGATTTTTAAAATGTAAGGCTGCAACTGATGTGGTTGCTGATATAAGCAGTCATTAGTCAATTAGCATGAGTTTAAAAGTGGTTTTGATAGATACTTATACAATTTTCAAAGAAAAGTTAGTTTTTTTTTCCTGAAGGAATATAATCTTTATTTTTTTGTAAGGCTGCAAGTAGAAAAATAAAAGTACAGAAAGAAGAATAAGGGGTAAAAGATAAGAAAATCATAGCTCTGTGGGATCTCAAGTGTGATTATTGGAGCAGGTATATTTTTTCTGAGGAGGCAGAATATCAGTGTGCTGCATGAGAGCACCAGGAACTCTTCCCTAATCACTGTCTTAGGATCCATATATTGTAACTTTCTTATTTTTCTTTAGTATCTGGTGACCTAGAAGCTTCCCAAATGGGTAGAGAAGGAGAATCTGAAGAGCTTGCCTCTAGATCACTACCCTGTGATGGATAAGGTAAGCATGACTTAAAGAAACAGAGTTCTGATAAAGAGAAAAAGACAAGAGAGAAAAATAGGAGATTTAAAGGAAGAATCAGATGTAGGGAGGATCAATGGAAGATTTTGAGGGAATCAGTAGAAAATGGGGATCAACAAATTTACATAAAAGAAGGTCCCTAGTGCAAATGAAAGGTCTTCATAAATCACAATTTTGTTCCAGGAGCAGAGCTAACAGCAGGTGGAAATGAGAAGTATGCCCGTGTTGTGTGCTTCTCAAAAGACATGCCAGAAGGTCCGGAAGCAAGGACTGAAATTAGTGAAGCACGTGACACAATAGGTAAGGCTGTCCAAAGGTCAAGTCATGAGGGTAGATCTACAGGCAACACAGACCCCGGGGTAGAGTATGACAGGTGGTCCAGTCCATCCCACTATCTTGTTGTTGGCATTTTCTCAACCTGCCCGTTTTGGGAACAGCATGGAGGCAAAACATCTCTTATTATAGAGATGTTTAACAGGATGAGCCCTGTAGATTCTACGTAGTTGATTATAGTAGAATTACACTTTGAAAATGACTGTATCTAGTTTACTACATTAGTATATTAGTAATAGATTTTGTATTTATACAGTGATTTCCACCTTGGTCCCACCCAGAATCCAGAAAAAGGGAGAATGTACTTCTGCTGTATATAATAGAATCATTTTTTTCACAACCTTAGAAAGACCTAAAAGATAACTGATCCTGTCATTTAATTGTCAGTAGGAAAGCCTTCAGGTCAACTACTCTTAACCTAGCACATATTTTTGATGGATGTCCTCCAGCATATCACTAATTTATATATTGTTTTCCTACAAACTTTTGCACATGTTATTTAATTCTCACAAAAATATCTTTAGATCTGGACAGAATAGGATAACTGATTCTATCCCTGAATTAATTGAAGTATAGAGACATTTAAGAGTGTTTTTCAAGATCCTATTGAGAAATTAAGGAAGGCCCTGGGCCCATCCTGGACTCTTACTTCTCAATTCAGAAGATTTTTATTCCCTTTAGAAGGAAGAGAAGAATGATAGTCTAAACATCTTTAAAAACTTAAGCCTTCTGTAGTATGAATGACCTTAGGATTGTCAACTTTTAGTTATTAATTTGTTTCCTTACATCAACCTCTTATTTTCTAGATAATGTGGATCTCGGAAATAACTCTACTTTGGGAAAACTCAAGAGGAAAAGAAGTAAGAACACATTACATTTTACTTGATTTTGATGTTAAAGTTAGCATTTTAATGCCAGAGTTTTAAATTACTACTAGAGGCCCGATGCATAAAATTCGTGTAAGAGTAGGCCTTCCTTCCCCTGGCTGCCCGCACTGGCTTCCCTCTGGCACCTTGGACTTGGGCTTCCCTCCAGCTGCTGGCAAGCACCCAGGACTCAAGCTTTCCTCAAAGCCCTGGCTTCATCTGGAAGGACATCTGGTCTAATTAGCATATTATGCTTTTATTATTATAGATTTGCAATAATAAGTGATAAAAATAATTAATAATCATATGATAGTTATTCAAACCTGTTTATGTCCTAATATCTAGAGCCTATACTGTGTTTTCTCCCATGGCAAAAGGGATTTTACACATATAATAAAGCTAGGGTCCTTCAAAGGGGAAAATATCCTGGTATTTGGGTGCCACCAATATAATCAATGAGCTTTAGAGTAAAGAACTGTTCTCAGATATGGTGAGAGGAAGATAGTCACAGAGAGATGCGATCTTTGTGAAGATGGAAAAGTGGAACAAGGAATTTTGGTTATATGTAGAATTGCAAGAGCATTGGGAATAACTTCTCCTGTATCACCTCCAGAAAGAAAGGAGAGGCCACTGAAACCTTTGTTTTAATCCTTGTCAGGCTAGACCCTTGTCAGACTTCTAACTGACATATCTGTAAGATAACAAATTTAAATTGTTTTAAGCCTCTAAATTTGTGGTCATTTGTATGGCAGCAATAGAAGAGCAATACAAATTTTGGTTATTATACAACTATAACACATTCCTAAAAAGATGGAAGTGGCTTAGAAATTGAGCAATGGACAGAGAAAAAACTGGGCAATGTGAAGAATTTTTAGTAGAATGATAGAAACTGTCTACATGGCCTGAGCAGTTTGTTAGAAATGTGGGAAGACTACTAGTGAAGACTCAGAAGGAGGTGAAGAACTTGGGAGAGAAAGGCTATATTGAGCTCCCACCCAGATGTGAGCCAGATAAGGAAAGGGTGTTCAAGTAAGATAAGTGAGATGGAGCTCAAGTGAGGTAAGTATCAGGAGCTCAAGACACTTAGAGAATACATAAGTCATGTTCAACAGATGTTAGTAGATATATGAAGGTTAAAGGTGTGGCTGGTGAAGACTGAGAAGAGAAAAAGGAAGATGTTTTGGGAAACTAGAGAAAAAGGATTCTTATAAAGTAAAGGCAGAGAGCTTAGTGAAATTCTTCCTAAAGATATGTGGGAAGCAAACCTTTTTGGGTGTATAGCTAAGGATATTTGTAAGCAAGTGATAAAGATTCAGCTGTTTTGTTTGTTTTCGTTTCTTAGAGTAAAATATGTGAGGAAAGAGATAAACCCATAGAAGAACTGCTCAACAACAACATAAAAAATTAGGCTTGCTGATCTGTACAATTTTTAGCTTATTCAGGTTGCAAAAGATGCTCAAATGAGGAGATTCACTGTCAGGAAAGTGTGCTCTGTAGAAGTGATCAAGAATGTGGCTTAATAACTTTTTGTTGATGCCTCAGAAATAACAGAAGATCAGAATATTCATTCACATAAAAAGTTTTTTGAAGGAATTAAATGTGTGGTTCACAAGTTTCCACCCCCCCAAGCCATCTGAGCAGAGATTAAAAAATAGATATGTAATTATGTAGGAAAAGACCCGGGCGGAGCTCTTGTGTATGGAGTAATTCTCCATGACATACATAAGGTTCTTGAGAATTATGTAAGAACAGAAACAAAACTCTATCTAATCCCTA